CCCCCCCCCCCCCCCCCCAGCACTACTCATTACAGACCCGGATACTCATTCGCATAAATATGCCATCTGAGCCCACCCATCAGATATCAAGGAGATCCCGACCCATCAAAGAAAAGAAAGAAAAAAACCCGCTCTGCGCGAGCTTCCTGTATTAGGCCTGGCACAGAGGACCCCGCAGGCGCAGGCGCAAACGGGCCACATATGACGTGGGCGGCGGGCGCTGATTGGCCAATTTGTTTTTTCCTGCTACCGCACCACAGGCAAAAAAAAGACCAAAAAAAAGGCAAGCCCAACAAGTATCCCAGTCCGGCCCGCAGCGGCCGCTGCGGGCCAAGATGTTCTGCGCGATTGTGTCAGGAAGCGCAGAAGGGTTGCAAAAAACGCCAGAATGCGCAGAGCCGTCAACGGGCTGGGCTGGCCAAACTGTCCGACACGCGCTCCCAGAAAGAGCTGCGGTCGGGGTCGGGGGAGGTCCCGCACCCGCAGAATCGCCCGGGGGCCGGGGCACGGTCCTTGTGATGCACGTTCGAGCGCATGTGAAAAAGGCGCAAATTGGGCGGCAGCCGGAAGCATTGCGGGGGGAGTGGTGCAAACATATTATAGGGGCGAGAAGCTATGGATAGCTGGAGCAACTCGTGTACGGTTTTGTGTTTCCACGGGAGAAGGGAGAGAGAATGGCACGATGACAGTTTAGAGTACAGTACATAGACACAATTGTGAGTGGGAGCTATTGGTGTAGTGCATCATAATGTGAGTCGATTTACGGGGTTTAAAGAATGCATTTCGTTCGACATACTGAGGGACGCAAGAGTGTGTTCGTTATCGTGTTACCGGTGAAGATGGATGAGTGGTCGTGCTCGTTATTCAATATGAATACTTGTATCTCTTATTGTGTAACTCGAGAATTTATATATATAGTCACGTGACACGATAATGTCTCATTTCAAACTCCTATGGCGTGTTACACAAGGAGAGCTTATGTATTATACTAGTTCAACGTGTCTGTGTTGTCGCTTTCCAAGCAAACGATTCGACTTTCGATCTGGCCACTTTACATTTTACTTTGAGGTCATGAAATTTCACTTTTGGTGTACCGAAATTACACACGCTCGATCCATCACAAATGTAAAAAACAAATTCCTCTTTTACAAAAACACACCTATCTTAAACATACCGCTCCGAGAGCACCCCTTTACAATTACTGCTCCGAACGCACCCCTCTTTAAACTGTTTCTGCCCGTCTCCCAGAATGCTGCCTTTGTCTCATTCATTCACCTCCCGCGGTCACGTGCCATTGACAACCACAACATGTCATCGCCTCGATACGTATGTTTTGCCATCCCATACAATAAGTCCTTCAGGTCCGAGATCTACCAGTTGAGTACTCTAGATTATCGCCTCATTTTGTCCAAAATACCCCTCAAACATCAGACTTTCTGATCAATGTCAATTTTCTTTCTAAGCCCTGCGGCATCACTCATACCAACACAAAGCAAGCATCCACGCCCTTTGCCAGTCAAAGCTATACGCGTAGCACTTTCCTTGACTCAAACAGACATGAATTGTAGATCTCTTTCCATTACTAATTTTTTCGGTCACTCAATTTTCAGGGCCCGCTGCGGATGAACTTATTGGCATTACTGCAATTCCAAGGTAAGAACAACATCTGTGACTCACCTTTGTTTGTAAAATCTCAATTTCACCGAAAACATCTAGCAAATTCCGTGTTTTTCATGTATTCGTGTTCACTCAATATAGTCATTTTTGACCGTCCTGTAATTCGTTTCGGTAGTCTTCGCCGGTTTCTCCGAAGAGCAGCTAAAAAAGTCGTAGGGTTTCGCTAGTCGACCAAATACAAAGTGATTACTTGTCCTTAAACCGCACAGCATCACAGCCTCACATTTCCTGGGATACCCGCTTTTATGATGAGTCTTGACAGCACTAAGCTCTGACTAATGTCTTGCTTGACAGACCGACAATGCGTATATATGAGCTCGTTAGCTCTCAAGGTCGAGAACGAGCTGATCGATTAGTAAACCAGCAGTTCTTCACCAAGTGACGATTGCCCCCATATTCTTTGTTAGAATACCGTTAGGGCTGATTGTATTGCCATTTCCTGAGAATTTCAAAAAGAAGGAAGAACGCTCTACCTATGTTGGTTCCCAACTTCTTAGACGGTACCAGCGCACGTAGTGACATTGCAAATATCAAGATCTGCGACCTCAAAGCCAACAAAACTCTACTGAAACACACCTCGTCGGATATTCCCAATATTCAGTACAATCCCTTCTGTCTCGAGGAAAATCCATGTGTCACAATTCATGAGTCCAAGCGACTGACAATTGAGCTTGAACTGGACGCCAATACTTATCACCTCCAAAACCTGGATACAAAAGCCTTGCTGAAACAGCTACCTGAAAATCAGAACGATTCGGACACACAACGTTCCTCTACGGGAGTAGTTTCTGGAAAGCTGCGATTAACGGTAAAAACGGATGAAGTAATTCCGCTCAGTAACGTTCAAGTACGACTTAGCGGCTATTCGTACGAATGTGCGTATGACAGACACGATGCTGTCGTGAAAGCGGTCAATGGACCTAAATCAGGCATTCGCTCGTCATACAAAGTGCCCTTTGTACAGGACATTCAAATATTCAATATCACCGAACAGAATGATGGTCATCACCCAGAACTGCTTTCTCCAGGTCTATATGAATATCGCTTCGCGTTCATACTTGACTCGGAAACTTTGCCAGGGTCTCTGAAAAGCCCTCGTGGTTCAGTCACATACAGAGTGGAGTCCTTTGTCACCGTTTCAAAGCCCAAAGCCAAGTTTGAAACTATTTTTCTGAGCTCAATTGTTTTGCTGAAAAAGACCATTCCACCACATCTCCATTCCGTCTCAGAACATTATTCTGCTTTTGGACTTTGGAGAGATGGACGTGTTGAGTACGACTTGTTTTTAAGCTCACGGCTTTTGGGATTCGAAGATCCTTTTCAATTGTCAATAGACTTAAACCGGAACTGCGACCTTTGTAGAATTGATTCTGTGCAGGTGAGTCTTGAACAAACAATATCCATCCCGTGTTACGATCGCGAAAGCAGAACTGCGAATGGGGAGTATTTTGACGAAACAACTTCTTCTATATTACACTTGCACCAGATTTGCAAAAGTGACAAACCGTTCCACAACTTGCTTTTCAACGATCTTAAAATACCACAATGCTCGAAGAGTGCGTACAGAAAGGGAAACATATTCCGGTCATACATCGAAACCGGCTCTTCTCTATCGATACCAGGCGAAAGCGCACTCAAGCTCAAAATCTCACATGAGATCAAGGTCGCAATTCGCACACGGATTGTCAAGTCCTCGCCAGACCAGAAAGATGAAGAATTTTATCAAATCATACTCAAAATTCCTGTTATTGTTACAGATCACAATGCAAAATTCTACACCGAATTGCCGAGATATCAGCCCACGGCTGAGACCGTTGCTTGCTGCCCAAGCAATGTCAGTGTGCTGACGCCACCTGAGTACGATGAAGCTTAGAACTAATATACAAAACTTTTGACTTTAATTCATAATGGTGGAGTTAACGATCCAGCGTTAATCCCACTTCACTACTTACAACATGAGCGTAAATCCCATTGTCAATTAAACTAACCAGAATACCTTAATTTTCTCAGAATAGGTATCTGATGCTTGTCTTCTTTTATGGAATGAAACCGCTCGCGCGCGGATCGACACATTCTGTGATTACTGTCTATTTTTCTGTTTTTTTTCCTCTCTTCAAGAGTCTTGGCGATGCTCATACTCTTGGATATCGTGCTTACGAAAAGCTCACAGCGGGTTGATAAAATCAATCTGAGTCTTCTGCAATCGTTTCCAATAATCTGTGTCTGGTTAGCTCGTCGTTCTTAACAATTCTTTCGATTTGAGAATCGTCCAACTCGGCCATCAATTTACCGCTGTCATAAGGATTAACCTCGGTAGATTTGAATCTACGAGCAGGTACGCGGAGGTGGAATAGTTCATCAATTTCACCAAAGGTGCGACCCTTGGTTTCAGGCATATCCAAAATTGCCCACGTCAACATAATCAAACAGATTCCACCCCAAAACAAGCCAGTTTTGGCCCCCCAGTTCCACTCTTCAGTGTTCAACATATATGGGGTCCAAATATAGTTGACAATACCCATGACGTTATAGAAATTACGAGCCAAAATCACAGTCTTAGTTCTGAGTTTGGCACTTGGAATTTCGGGTACCACACAGTAAGTCACTGGACCGACACCAACGTCGTAAACGAAAATGAAAATCAATAGTAAAGAGCCAATTGCCCAACTAGCGCCTGTAGAATGCTTGAAACCCAAACCTCCAATTATCAACAAGAGTAGCGCTTGAATACCTAGACCTGTTGAAAAAATGGTAAAGCGACCGTACTTTTTGGAAACGAACCACGACAAGATTGTACCTACCATACCCAAACAGTATTGAATGATGGTAAACGTGAAGGCCATCGATTCACTGAGGCCAGCCTTGATGTAAAAATAGGTAGAGAACCCCATCATCGCACTACCGCATGCGTTTTGAGTGACCCATGTGAGGCACGCAATTCTTGTTCTTCTACCGTCAGGTCCTTTGAAACAGTCTAGATATGAGACATCTTTTGTCATTGATTCTTCTTTTTGAATGGTCAATTGGATTTTGTTAAGCATTGCATCAATGACGGTGGGCTTTTCCTCTTCAGAAATGCCAGTAACGAGACGGTTCAAACTGTGGGCTGCTTGATCCATCTTACCGTTTCTAACAAGCCACCAAGGGGATTCAGGTGCGAAATAGATACCAATGGCAATTGGAATTGGCCAAATCCACTGAAGTGCAAAAGGCAATTTGTAACCGAGGTCCGAGTATTGGAGATTTGTTTGCGAGTTTTTCAAGATTCCTGAGGCGAAAATCTGGCCAAAAATCCAGCAGATGTTGACATAGGTGGTGAGGTAGTATCTTAACGCAAGGGGACACACTTCAGTGGCGTAAGAGACAGTCAAAGTTTGGAAAGCGCCCCATGGGATACCGCACAAGACTTCGCCAACGGCCAGGACCGCACAAGAGGGTGCAAAAAACAGGATAAAGATAAAACAGAATACCATGAGTAGCGAGGTGATCAAGGTGCGGCGATACCCGATGCGTTCAGCGGCAATACCGGCGAGCTGAAGACCGACAATCTCTCCCACATTGGTGCACATTGAGAGACCCGTTTGCCACTTGGCGGGTACTTCGTACACTTGGGAGGCTGGATTCCAGTTGCCGAATTTCTTGGCAAATGCTGGCAGCGCGTAAAGCGATTGCAATAGGCACACGTCGTAGCCTTCCATGATCAGCGCCGATGACAACACGATGGACCAGAATGCGGCCTTAGGATACTGACGGATCGCCTGCAACAATGGCATGTGCTTTTCCTCGCCGTCCGCCTGACGGGCATCTTCCGAAAGTCCGAGAAACTTGGCAATCGTCTCACTTCCTACGGCGGACGTGGTGAAATCCGTTTCTGAAACGTTGCTGCCTGCAAACTCCATGTGTTGCGTTTCCTGTTTTTTGGGGTTGGTGGTGGGGGACTGGGAGGGCAAGTCCATGGACGAGCCAATGGTCTCCACGTGCGTTAGCTGCACTTTATCAGACATAGTGATAGGGATTGGTGGTGATGCTGGTGGTAATGCCAAAGAATGTTGTCACTTTCAAAGAGAACAGAAAACCAAGCCAGGAAGCTGACAAGTTGCGCGCTTCTTGATAATAATTATCCAAGAAAGGAGATCTGGTATTTCTTACTTCTTTGATTCTATCTAAAACTATATATCTCTAGAATTCAAGATCCCTCAAAGTCATTCTTCCCCGCCTTTTATACCTTGGCGGCTGGAATGATCCTGCCCCGCATTTCCGCATACAGAGAGTGCCGATACCCCGCTTTTTGGCATACACATTGTTGCATGACGCACAGAAAACCCCGTGAAGAGACCGAATAGGTGTAACCCCCCTTATTTTTTTCCCATTAAACACCCAGTCACCTCACTGTAACAAGGGGACTGATTGAATTATTATGCTTCCCTATCGTCCGCGATGGGGGTTTCGGATCGAATCCCGAGACGTAGAAAGTGACGGTGATCCTGTCTGGACGACAAACAAAAATGATGTGTTATTCATGTGGCGAACATACTCGGTTGCATATGGGACAACCGGGCTGTTTATTGCGGGGGAAACAAGGTACCATCAAACGTAGGAGGAGAGGTTCTGAGGCTCGGGCCGAGAGTATCAAAAAAGACAACAATTTTGTTGAGATGGGTGGGTTGTGTGTGATCTTCCACCCGTTGACTTGGGTTGGATTGGTGGTCTTCTCGGGATCCCGAAGAAGAGGTTTTAGATTTCTGTTATCTTCAGGGTTTTGTGTATCCGACAATGGGCCAACAAAACGGACAAGCGGGGCGCGTAAGGACCGGGATTCTCTAGGTGTTACTGTTTTGGAGGTCCGAGAATTGCGGTGCAGGGGAAGGGGGAATGCCAAGCCAAGTGAAACTAATGGTCGCTAGTTACGGGTGCGGACATTGGGATTACGTAAGCATAGGTTGGGACGGTGAGATGTTATTGTATGACGTTGACCCAAAAGTGTTGTTGGGTGAGCGGCTTCAGACAGCATAAAACGGGGATTTTAGGTCTCATGAAACGGGGGTTCAAGTCTTATGTCTCTGGTGTAGTTAGTTAGATTTTTTTTGGGAAGAAAAGTAGATGGATCACGTGATGTTTGGAAAACTCAGACACAGACGAATTGGCGACAGTAGACCAATGGCTCACAAGAAATACACACGAGCATAGTTTTCGGCCTAGGATTTGAATATTTTTTTCCTTTAGGGAGATCATTGTCTGTCGGAACGGAACGTCTTTCTGTCAAGCTTTAGACTCGTGAAAAAAGCGTTCACATACACATGACACAATGACAGCGACAGAATTGTCAAGATAGTCAAAGTATATAGAGCTAGTATTGATCTAACAGGAATGTCATTGATTGCACGAATAGGTACCACCTGAAATTGATCGTATAGCGACAGAACATTTCCAAGAATCTAAATAAGAAGAGACGTATTATCCTCCCTACAAGCTTATTTCATTTATGCCAAGTATGTCATGGAGGGATAACTCCATACTAAAGAAAACAACTGGTCACACCTCACAATAATGATTAGAATTACCCCGGATATAGGACGTTTATCGAGCAGCAACACGAGAATAAACCAGAAAACACTTATCCGTGCAATCCTACGTTTTTCTTGCGAAATTGTTCGATTTGTCAATTACTCTTCTCGCACGTGATCAAGCCATGACTGCGACTACCGACTACAGAGCCAAAAGCAGCACCAAAGGGTATAATTATTTAGGCTCGACTACGTCGGCAGTGTTCGAGTCGTTAATCTGCTTCGTTTGCTCAGTCATGATTTGCTCTAAGTGAATGGTTATGGTTATGGATTTTACTTATCTCTCCGTGGCTCTTTTTTCTACAAGCTTGGTACATTTGGTTTGACCAAACCACGGATATTTAAACGATTTTTGGAGCAACAATAGCAAACAATTGGTAACGTTCTAGACCTTAACCATTAGTAAGGATTGCTTAATAAACGTTCTGGATTGCTTGCAGATCCTGCCTAAAGTGGACGTATTGTTGCTTCATATCTTTACGATTGGTCCAGTTCACCTTAGCGCTTAAGATGTCATTTTAGACTAATTTGTCACTTTCGGATTACGCAATTGACATATAGTTCACCAATCCCAACAATAATGAACTTTGATATTCTTTGAGATAGTCCAATCTATCGCCATTTTCTTCTTAATCCCGTTGAGAACTTTACACTGCCACCGATGCTAAAATGATACCCAGATATGCACCAGAATCTGACCAACCTCCAAGATGATCCTCCATCCACTCATCGGCTATACATTTGAAAGCTCAAACTCACTTCCAATGATATGGGACGGTTCTCGCGCACGATACTCCAAGGACTCCTTCTAGATCCCATACGGAGTATAAACATTGACGCCGAGCCTCAAAACGTACCGGTAAACACCATTACATCTGTGTAGCTACAAAACTGCTACTGCCACGCAATCACCCAAATACATCACTTTTTATCTTACTATCTAGAAAACAGCTGCTACCACTTTGCAACGCGTCAAATCTCGGCCAGCAATCACTTTTTCCCGACCTGTCATTGACGCCATACGTAAGTAAACAGGTACATCACCAATATTCACTCGAAATTACGGCTTCCGACTCGTGCCGCTTCAAACCACTTCTAAGTCTCTTTTCATAGCACTCTTACCACCCACTTCTCTCCACACCGTTGCCAATATTTTTACCCCGGATTCTTTACCTCTCATCTACTAAAAATAAAGTAAAGTCAACGGCCTCATGTGAGATTCCGCACAACAAGCTCCTTAAAAGCAGCCTCTTCTTTCAAATCAAGAAGTCAGCCAGTAGAAACGTACGTAGTTCTTGATCAAGCTCGAACTGCAACTTCCGTCTTGCCGATACTCTTGTAACAAAAACGTTTCTTTCCCATGCGATGCGCTTAGCAGTCTACACCGACCAAAAGAAGGTTATGTTCAACCGGGAACGTATCTTAAGAAAGAAGAAAACTATATAAATATCTAGTATAGCTCTCTAGCCCATTACCCGAGACCCTCTGTTTCATACTCAACCATCTATTATTTTTCAATGACAGGACCTCAGAGAAAATGGTGGAAGGAAGCTACGGTTTACCAAATTTATCCAGCTAGCTTCAAAGACAGTGATAATGACGGATGGGGTGATTTGCCAGGAATTACTTCGAAATTGGACTACTTCAAATATCTTGGAGTCGATACCATTTGGATATGTCCTTTTTACGACTCGCCCCAGCAGGACATGGGCTACGATATTTCAGACTACGAAAAAGTTTGGCCCCGCTATGGCACCAACGAGGACTGCTTTGAACTGATTGAAAAGGCACATCAAAGCGGTATTAAGGTCGTCGTTGACCTCGTGATCAACCATTGCTCCACAGAACACAAGTGGTTCGAGGAATCGCGCTCCTCACGGACCAATCCCAAGCGCGATTGGTTTATCTGGAGACCGCCTAAAGGTTTCGATTCTGCTGGTAAACCAATCCCCCCCAATAACTGGAGCTCTTTCTTTGGCGGATCAGCGTGGGAATGGGAGGAAACGACTCAGGAATTTTACCTGCATCTGTTCGCCTCGAGACAACCCGACTTTAACTGGGAAAACGATGAGTTGCGGAGAAATCTCTACGATTCGTCCGCAGGGTTCTGGCTTCGTCACGGAGTTGATGGGTTCCGTATCGATACAGCCGGTCTCTATTCTAAAATCGATGGGCTTCCAGATGCACAGGTTACCAACCCAAATAGTGAATGGCAATATCCCGGCCCAGAGACCCGTAATGGACCTCGCATCCACGAATTTCACAAAGAAATGCGCAAATATTTCGAGGAACAACTTCCACCAGGAAAAGAGATTTTCACTGTCGGGGAAGTGGGAAATTGTGCCGATGATGGACTTTTGCGGTACACTAGCGAGGCTGAGGGCGAAATGAGCCAGCTCTTCAACTTCGCACACACAAATGTGGGTGCAAATCCTTATTTCCGGTACAGTGTGCTTCCATTCGCTTTGAAAGATTGGAAACTGGGCATTGCAGCAAGTTTTCTTTTCGCTAACCGCACAGACAGCTGGTCGACCGTCTACTTGGAAAATCACGACCAACCTCGCAGTGTGACGAGGTTTGGAGACGATTCGCAAGAGTGGCGGGAGATTTCTGCAAAACTTTTGGCCGTTCTGGAGATCGCTTTAACTGGAACGCTTTACATCTACCAGGGCCAGGAACTGGGTCAAATCAATAATAAGGGCTGGCGCTTGGACCAGTACGACGACGTGGACGTCAAAAACAAAAGGGCTATAATTCAAGAAAAATATGGAGATGATTCTGTGCAGATGCAAAAATTCGAAGAAGGTGTTGCCCTCTTTTCGCGCGACCACGCTAGAAATCCAATGCCGTGGTCGTCAAGGGAGCCTGATGCCGGGTTTGGCCCGCATGGTGGCCAGGCTGCAGCCAAACCTTGGTTGGCCGTTAATGACACATTCCGCGAAGGGATTAATGTGGAGGATGAGCTCCAGGACCCAGATTCGGTGTTAAATTTCTGGCAGAGCGCCATAAAGACCCGAAAAATGCACAAAGACGTATTGGTGTACGGCCAGGATTTTCAATTTCACAACGTTGATGACCCCAAGCTATTCCTGTTCACGAAAGAGGCTGGGGAAACCGGCTCGGCCCGTCGTACCATGTTTGCAGCTTTGAATTTTTCGTCCGAACCTTCTGACTTTTCTACGCCATGGCCAGACGCTAAACTGACCCAATTTTTCGGCAATTATCCTACTACTGCTTCTTCAAGCGCCAGAGATACTTTGAAGCCCTGGGAGGGCAGATTATTCTTTGTGGATTAGCTAAAGTATCAAACACAGCCATCAACCATGAGTGACTAGTGAAATTATATACAGTCTTTTTTGCAACTACTAAGAAACTACAATTATGTCCAGTTCGGGAGAGATATACAGCGCACAAAAGGGGTGGTGTAGTTTGAGAAGAACTGCAAGTGTTGTTAGAGCCTTTCCTGTTGGCTGTGAAAGCGGCCTCTTTTTTAATCGTGTATTCGAGGAAATTAAAAAATCAGTGTCAAAATGTCCACTGTTCACGGGCTAGACCCTGGAAGAGTCGCGAGTCTAGTTCGCTTTATAATATGAACATTTCACTTTTCTCAGCTCGCTCACCTGTCTGGTTAGCTGTCTTGTCAGCTCATCGCCTAATTTCTAATTTACGCATGTTCGAGACCCAGCCCATGCACTCGAAATTTTTCAGTGGTGAAAAAAATTGAGTCACTGGCGCAGAGGTTGAAATAATATTTTACTATTTCAGTTTCAACTGAGATATTCTAGTCTTTTAAAAGAGCAACAAGATAGCTCTTGAGAACGTTTTGAGTCGAATAGTTTGAAGATTTCAAACCTTTGAAACTATCAGATATATCCAGGATTTTTTAGGTCAAAAAATAAGCTACTACCCAAGTTTTTAGTTTCAAAAAATGAGTACATCGCCAATCAGAAAAGATATTTTGGAGCAAGCCGAAGATATCAGAATCGTTAACCTCGACCCTTTGGTGTCGCCAGCGCTTCTGCAATCCCAAATCCCTGCCACCAACAAATGTCTGGAAACAGTGCAGAAGGGAAGAAAAGAAGCCAGTGAAATCATCACCGGTAAGGACGACAGAGTGTTGGTGATTGTGGGACCATGCTCGATCCACGACCTTGACGCTGCCCAGGACTATGCCAGACGTTTGAAAAAAATCTCCAAAGAGCTTGAAAGTGATATCTGCATCATCATGAGAGCGTACCTGGAAAAACCAAGAACCACGGTGGGCTGGAAAGGTCTGATCAACGACCCGGAGATCAACAACACCTACAATATCAACAAGGGTCTAGAGTACGCTAGACAGCTCTTTGTGAACCTAACCAGCGAGGGCCTTCCAATCGGGTCAGAAATGCTCGACACCATCTCCCCACAGTACCTAGCAGATTTGTTGTCTTTCGGTGCCATTGGGGCCAGAACCACAGAGTCCCAGCTGCACAGAGAGCTGGCCTCAGGATTATCGTTCCCTGTTGGGTTCAAGAACGGTACGGACGGAAGCTTGGGTGTCGCCGTCGACGCAGTGTTGGCTGCATCGCACTCTCACCACTTTATGGGTGTTACCAAGCACGGATTTGCTGCTATCACCACCACCAAGGGTAACGAACACGGTTTCGTGATTTTGAGAGGTGGTACCAAGGGTACCAACTACGATGCCAAGTCTGTGGCCGAGGCCAAGAAACAGCTGCCAGAGGGTAGAGGTTTGATGATCGACTGTTCTCACGGTAACTCCAACAAGGACTACAGAAACCAGCCAAAGGTCAATGCTGCAGTCTGTGAACAAATCGCGAACGGTGAGGATAAAATCATCGGTGTCATGATTGAGTCCCACATCAACGAGGGTAAGCAATCCATTACTGCTGAGGGCAAATCCGCACTCAAATACGGTGTTTCCATCACCGACGGCTGCATAGGCTGGGAAACCACCGAACAGGTCCTACGTGATTTGTCCACGGCTGTCAAGCAGAGGAGAGAACTTAGAAACTCGGCCTCTGCTTGAGAGCAGAGCTCTAGAACCAACTGCGACAGCGCGAGAATAAGAAAAGTTTGGAAATTTAAATAATGACAGCAAGAATATATAAGAAAAAAAAACCATTTTGACGTACTTTGTAGTACATTTTGACAAGTATTGTGATGCCCTGCTACCTGGGAGTCACTGTCTTGTACGATTCCGCTATGCTATTATGGTAGACTCACAATGATGTCTGGTGACTCTGACTTTGAATATCTCAAGCACGAGTGAAGCGTTCTACTCCTTTTTTTTACATAGACACAGGAAAAAGGCTATTAAATTCCTGAAGTTATCACCTTCACCCCAAAGAGTCACAGTTCAAAGTTATTGTTGGTTTTCTAGACAAGCCGGTGAGCTTTTCTTATACTGGCAATTTGTTCATATACACTATTTAAATCGAACCTCCAATTTCGTACACAAAGATATATAAATGATTGTCAAAGTTTCTGGACGCTGGTGAAAAACTAGCCTGATTAAAGGTTGAGTCATACTACAGGATCTTAGTTTGAAACGTATATATATAAGCTTGATATCGCCTTTACAGAAGGTTAAATTACTGGAGTAAGTTGATTGGCTGTCACTGGACTTCGTGGTGTAAAAATCGCGAGTTTCACCTACTGATAAATCGCTAAAACGTGCACATTTTCTTGCAACAATGACAACCGTGCACATCATCGATGTCGAGAGTGGCAATCTCCGCTCTCTTGTCAATGCTATCGAGTATCTTGGATTCCAAGCTAAGCTAATCAGCCGAGCAGATGACCCAGAGTTGGCGGCTGCTAAAGTTTTGTTGCTTCCTGGTGTAGGAAATTTTGGTCACTTCGTGGATAACTTGGCTTCAAGAAGTTTCGAACAACCTCTTAGAAAATACATCGCTTCGGGCAGGCCTATCATGGGAATTTGCGTGGGGCTGCAGGCATTTTTCAAGGGCTCAGAAGAATCCTCAGCTAGTAAAGGTTTGGGATTCTTGGACCACCAATTAACCAAGTTCAATGCTTCTAAGAAACCAGTTCCAGCAATTGGTTGGAACACATGTACTCCACAGGGCAAACTATATGGGATTGATCCTTGCCACAGGTACTATTTTGTGCACTCTTATGCCGCCGTGCTAAACAATGACTCCAAGAAGGCGTTAAGTGAAGCTGGTTGGGACATCGCTGTGTCAAAATACGGCTCTGAGGAGTACATCGCTGCTATTTCCAAAGAAAACATTTTCGCAACTCAATTCCACCCAGAGAAGTCCGGGCATGCAGGTCTCGCCATCATCAAAAACTTCATTGAACAAAAACACCCCGCCATTTACCACTCAGCTCAGGAAAATGCCTTGTTGTTGAACGACTATTCGAACTATGGGTTAAGCAGAAGAATTATCGCCTGTCTTGATGTTCGCGCGAACGACCAGGGCGATCTGGTGGTCACAAAAGGTGATCAGTATGATGTGCGTGAGAAAGAAGAAGGTGGAAACGTCAGAAATCTCGGCAAGCCTGTAGAGATGGCTAAAACCTATTATGAACAGGGCGCGGACGAAGTGACATTCCTGAATATCACCAGTTTTAGAGACTGCCCGTTGAGGGACACACCCATGTTGGACGTTCTTAAAATGGCCGCTAAGACGGTCTTTGTACCTTTGACTGTTGGTGGGGGTATTAAAGACGTCACAGACGTTGATGGAAAGGTGGTTCCTGCGCTCCAAGTAGCCACACTTTATTTCCAGTCCGGAGCTGACAAAGTATCCATAGGCACGGACGCTGTTTATGCCGCTGAAAAATATTATGCCTTGGGTGGACGTGGTGACGGTACATCGCCAATCGAAACCATCTCCAAGCCCTATGGTGCTCAAGCTGTCGTGATTTCTGTGGATCCCAAGAGAGTGTATGTCGATGGCCCCGAATCCACAAAGAACAAGACGCTTAAGACGAAATTCCCCAATGAAAAGGGTCAGGAATGGTGTTGGTATCAGTGTACTATCAAAGGTGGTAGAGAAAGCAGAGATATTGGTGTTTGGGAGGTAACGCGCGCTTGTGAGGCGCTTGGAGCGGGCGAAGTACTTCTGAACTGTATCGACAAAGACGGCTCCAATTCTGGATATGATTTGGAATTGATCGAACATGCCAAAGATGCAGTGCGTATTCCAATCATCGCATCAAGTGGTGCCGGATCCCCCAAACATTTCGAGGAGGCGTTTGAAAATACAAGAGCAGACGCTTGTTTGGGAGCAGGCATGTTTCACAGAGGTGAGTACACCGTGGCGGACGTTAAAAAGCATTTATTGAACAAAGGATACAAGGTAAGAATGGATTAAATCCTTTTCACGTTTTGAATGAAATTTAGCCTCGTACAATTTAATGATGTCTAGATGCTGGTTTATAAAGTATTTTAGCCCTAGAACAATTATAGAACTTTTCGGAGAATGTTCATAACTTTTGACAGGCATAGTGCCTGTTGCGACATACTTCAACAAGTGTACGCCTTCGCAAAAAAAAATGCAAATAAAACTTTTTGGTAACATCAATCGTCATATTTATCCGCGCGCTTCTCGGCAGCTTCGTCAGTTAATTTTACCCCACCGGAGACTGAAAACTGTCCACCCCCACCAACAAACATAATGTTATGGTCTTGAGTTGCTGTGTTTTTGATTCTGGTAGGAACTTCGATGTCTTCTCCAGAAGGACCTAATCCCACGGCATAGGTCTCTCCGAATCCCCATGAAAAAACGACACCATCTTCAGAGATAGCTAGCGAGTGGTGAGAGCCGGCGGCGATGTTTTTGAAACGTGGAACATCTACGAGCTTAGTTGGTACGGGGACGGCACGGGGTTTGTTGTGTGCATCGATATAAGTCTGTTCTGGCAATTTGTCTTTGGCAATGCCAATCTCAAACATATCGAGTCTACCAAAAGTGAAAAGCTCTCCTTCTTCTGATAGGACGAGAGAGTGATGTTCTCCGGCCGCGACCATTTTCACTTTAGTGCCTTCTGGCAAAAGAACTTCGGTAGGGATGGTGACCAAAGCACCGTCTTCCACCTCTTCAGTGACACCACATTGGCCAAATTGATTAAGACCCCAGCTGAAAAGCTTGCCATCATTGCTGAGTGCAAATGAGTGGTTCTCACCCGACGCAATGTGTTTGATGTTGTCGAGGCCAAAAGCACGGGGATCCAAGGTTCTCAAACGAGAACGTTCCAAAATCTTTCTTCCAAGCTGGTACTGCTGCCCATTACCCCATGCATAGACAATTCCACCTTCATCAAGAAATAAAATATGGTCTTTTCCCGCTGCCATTTGAACAACTTTTGAGGAAGAAAACTTAGGCACTTTCCAAGGAAGTTTTTGCATTTTGATAGTTTCTTTGTAAAAACCCAAAGTACCTTCGTTGCACCTGAAAGTACCCCAGGCATAGATTTCTCCGCTGTCGAGCAACACTGCACTGAGGTTATCAGTGGCTGCCAGCTGCGAAACCTTGGATTCTGCCAAGGGCAATGAACTTTCATCGAGCTTGGTAGGCGTACTTTCCTCATCGTTTAGATCTCCATCTTCGTCGTCACTACTGTCTTGAGCGTCCATATCCTTCAATTGGACTTTGGCACCGGATGTATCGCGACCCAAAGCACCAGAATCATTCGTTCCCCATGACCATACACTGTTGTCCTGACCGAGAGCCAAAACATGCATACCACCCACAGCAAACGACACTATTTTCGCCTGATCTTTCACCAAATACGGATTCAAACGAGGTCTCTTCACCTCTTTGTTTTTTGAAGATGGACCTAACCCCAATTCACACATAGATCCTGTTCCCCAGCAGAAAATATCCAACGGCTCGACCGCAATATACATGTGTTTATAGTCATCTTGGCTGTTGATCGACTTGTAGTGCTTGTGAATCGTGGAAACAAGATGCTTCTTTGTCCTTTTGGAAGGCGTTAAATTAGGGCTTGCCGATCGTTTACTCATATTTTGAACACGACTTGCAGTAAGAGCTGATTGTTTTCCGACACTTTTGAATGTTGTCTGTGCAGATGAGCTTGCTCGATGAGCTTGCTCAATAGTGTTTACGAATATAGCTTGGATCTGCTAATTAGGCATATCGTCCGCGATGACATCAAATATTAGTACGAAATGACAATAAGCGACGTCACTAAAATAGTTTCACCAAATATGAATAACATCTTTCCTTGTAGTGGAATATTTTGGGATCTTATTTCACCTTGAAATGATTTACTGCTACCATGATGGCTGCTAGTTTCACCCCAAACTTGTTCATTATTTAAAGCCGCACAGAATCAAGATGCTGGCCGAAAATTGTATACTCTTTAGTAACGCCAGGTTGTTTTAATCCTGGAACAGTTCAACTGAATCTTTCAACTTTCTGCTATTCGAGACTATGAAATACGTGTCTATCTACTTTTACATTTTATTCACTTTTGCATGTGCGTTCCAAACCCAAGACGACGACTGTGACGTTCCCTTTCCTTGGACAGCGATGTCTGGTATGGAATGGAAAATCAAGTCGCAGGGTTCCGAGACAGCTCTCAATTTTGACTTGAGCGCTGCCATCCCACCAGCGTGGGTGAAAAGTGTTGATGACGCTATTACTAAAATGGAGATGCATCTGCTGCGTTTATATGCTTTGGATTCAAACGTTGGGATTGCTGAGCAAATTTATACGCAGTGTCAGTCGGTGAAATCGTCGAGCAATGATTTGGTGCTAGGACTTGAGGGAGACGAATGGGGACCCGTGCACCATCATCTGGATCAGATCATCAAAAAAGCGATTCGTAACTTGGAAGCGGATTTCGATGTGGCTTTCACAGATGCCACAACAAGTGCCACAAAGCTTGTGCAAAATTCCAAAAAATTGACGACTGCGCTTAAGGAGATTTCTGTTCTCGTTGATAATAAGTTTTCACCGGTTACTCCAAATTACACACCTGATCTACATGAATTTGCCCACTCAATTGATGAGCTGGAGGTTGGTAGAATTATTGCGGAGGGAATCGCTAAAAAAATTGAGCAAATGGTGGTAGGAGGTGACCTTCACGCTGCAATCACAGAAATAGCCAATATTTTCGGAGATTTGGGTGTACTTTTAACAGCGTATGCCACAGGTTTGGCGATTTGTGCCGGTAACGTCATATTCGTCCTCTGCGGCGTATCAATTTTAGTCTGCGGTGGAGGCACAGTGATATTCATTTGTAGACTCCTCCAGCATCTCAACAACATTTACAAAGTTTTGGGCGTGTAAGATTCCTCCCACTAGCACCTTTTACAAGTTGTCCATATTTTACTGACGTTTCAGTATATCACTTCTTCATATCTTGACGCAATTCAATCACTATTTCGTATTCTGACGTTATTTGATGAAAATTTTCTAAATACTGTAAGAAAATCTCCCGGGCAGCTCATCTCATCTCATCTCATCTCACCTGAATTTGAACTCATCGGACCAGCGCCTTGTATATAAAAATCGAAGACTCAAAGATGGGTAGAGTTAGCAGCAGCAAGCCCAGGAAGCAAAGACATGATCCATTGCTAAAAGATTTGGATTCGGTTCAGGGAAACTTGAGGAAAACTTCGAAGAGAAGAGAGGATCAGAATGACGATGATGATGAGCAAGTCGAAGAATATGTGGATGCCGCTGCTTCAAGAAAGATTCTGCAATTGGCAAAGGAACAACAGCAAGAACTAGAAGCAGAACAGGAAAAAGCCAAAAAAGAACAAGCTGATCCTTTCGCCAGGTTCCGCATTGGTAGACCAATAAATCAAAATGGCTCTGAGGACGAAGATGAAGACGAAGACGCTTTGGCTGAAAACGTTTCTGATTTCGACCCTTACGATGAAAATGGAGACCAAGAGGAAGAGGAGGATGTGGTGGAGATTGACGAGGAGGACGCTGCAATGTTCGAGCAGTATTTCAAAAAAGCTAGCGATTATAACTCGGATTTCAAAAGTTACAACCTGGCAGATAAAATCATGGCCTCAATCCGTGAAAAGGAAATGGAACAGGGAGAGGCCGAAAGGGGTGAAAATGGCGAGCTTGGGCGCGGCGGTAACAATCAGCAACCGGAAGGTGTGGCTCTGCCCACCAAGGTTGTCAAGGCTTACACAACAGTGGGATCCATTCTCAAGACCTGGACCCACGGCAAACTGCCCAAACTTTTCAAAGTTATTCCTTCTCTCAATAACTGGCAAGATGTGTTGTATGTAACAAATCCTCCTGAATGGTCTCCTCAGCTTGTCTACGAGGCCACCAAACTATTCGTGTCGAACCTTACCGCAAAAGAGGCCCAGAAATTCATCAGTATAGTCCTCTTGGACCGCTTCCGTGATAACATCGAGTCCAGCGAAGACCATTCAGTCAACTACCACATCTACAGAGCTTTGAAAAAATCTCTCTACAAGCCAAGCGCTTTCTTCAAAGGCTTCCTTTTCCCTCTTGTAGAATCGGGCTGTAACATACGCGAAGCAACTATTGCAGGAAGCGTCTTGGCGAAAATATCCGTACCGGCATTGCATTCCTCGGCTGCGTTGAGTTACCTCTTAAGACTGCCGTTCACACCTGCTACCACCGTTTTCATAAAGATTCTTTTGGAGAAAAAGTATGCTTTACCTTACCAAACCGTGGATGATTGCGTTTATTACTTCATGAGATTTAGAATTTTGAGCGATAGAAGTAATGGCGAGGATAGTGAACGAGCGCTTCCTGTTGTGTGGCACAAGGCATTTCTCTCGTTTGCTGAGCGTTACAAGAATGATATTACTCAAGACCAAAGAGACTTTTTACTGGAAACTGTCCGTCAAAGGGGTCATAGAGATATCGGCCCTGAGATTAGGCGTGAACTGCTGGCTGGACAGAGTAGAGAATTCGAGAATAATTTGGAGAATAAAGATGACTTGATGCTGGATGTACAGTAGCTTAGTCCTATAGGCATTTATAGACGCACTAGATTGGTAAAGCGCGTGAAGCGTTTGAATTGGACTAGTTTGTCATCAAAGGACCGTGCAGCGTTTCTTTCTGATGTTTACATCACTACCGACAGACTCCTCGAATCCTCGGTATGACTTTCACTACGACAGTGCTCAGATTTGATCTTTCGCTTCAACGAAAGTCTACTTTGCCCAAGGTGAATCGATAGGCAAGTACCTAAACTTCGTAACGCTTGGAATTTCAAGTAAATTAGCGGGTAAGCCGCATTTATGACATCCCCCTCGCTGGCTAGTGCTTCATTCTCAACCTCTAAGACTCAGTGCATCACGGCGTTACAGCATCATTTGAACTGATACCCACAGCTTCAAATTAATTTTAATAGTACTGTCAATAATGGCTTTCGCCTAATAATTGGAATCTGGTCTTCCATTCAATGACACCGTCACTTTTCTTCTAATGAATTTTCCCCGAGCCGTTTTCCTTTGGTGGGTCATAATCAATATAGGTATATAGAAATGCGACAATGGACCTATAGGGCATGAAGCAGTCCCTATTTGCAGCATCGTTTTGAAATTTGGCTTGAAATGTCATCCGCAGGGTTTTTATGTCTGCTCCAACGTTTTTCGCTTTGAAATTCAGCACCAATGAGTCCCTCACAATGTATCAACTCAGTTTGAGCCCCATATCCTTATCGCTACATCTTGCGAAATATCTTTATGATGAGATACGTAACAAGTAAGCTGATGAACATGAATAAAAGACATGTCATGTAGAATAGAAATCCTACCTTAGAATTGTGATATTTTTTCAGCTTTCCACCAAGATCAACTAGGCTACGTGAAGTTGCCTGCAACCCAAGTTCGGTTGCTTTTAAAACCGTCGAATCATCATCCAGTGCAGCTTGAAATGCTTCGGCACCCTGTTTAAGACCAGACACAAGTTGAGACATGTCACTGAGAAGCTCTTCCTGAATGTTGTTTTGTAATTGCATCTGCTTCTCCATTGAGCTACCAGGATCAGAGGCTACGTCTATGTGATCCTGTTTTTTTCCCAATAAGCGGTTTCGTAGTTCCGCCAACTTCTCATCGTCCTGATCACCACTCCGAGACCGGGAGGCTATATCTTCAACTGGCTCCTGCAAAACTGGGCTTTCTGAATAATTATCTTGATCAAAATCCACACTGAAACGATGGGACTTTTGAGACTCAATGTGTTTAGTATATTGTTCTTTCAAGACTGACGTCGAAGCATGCTGAACCATAGAAGCGGTACATGCTATACCACTGAACTGATCCTGAAAAAAGGCGAAATCTCTTTTATTTCCATAATTCCCTTCATGCTGTTCTCCTTCAATCTTGTTGCTGACCACTGTTTTCCGTAAGATGTCGATATTTGAGCATAGTTTAGCGCTCAAGACGCTTTTGAGTGCAGGTTCTTCATCTTGAGATAGGGCTGGTAGAAGGCTTGCCTCTAATGCTTGTCTTGTGAAGCATATGGTCTCAGAGTATGTTGTCATCAGGCCTTCTTTCCAGAATTTTGGTTGATCTGCGAAACTCGATGAGTATCGTTGACTCAATTTCAATATTCATATATGTAGGTTAGAGTTCTTGACTTAAAATCGAAAACAAATCAGATCTTTTAAGAGCAAAGGAAGGGCGTAGAAATCGTTGTTCTACACCGCGGGAAAAAGAGTTTTGATGAGCTACTAAAGGGAATTCAATCGCCTTTTTTGGGTCGTAGTGGTCTAGGGACAAATTTTCACGTAGTAGTCATTGTCCGCTCAATAATTACTTACTACTTCAAACAAGTCCGAACTGCCTGTAAAAAAATGCTCAAAGATGATTACATGGCTCAGTGCCAGTTTAAAGAGATGCGCATTCTAAACGTTGACCTCTAGGCGAGATTTTAAAATCAATGTGTCTGGAAATGGCGGTGATGATGATTTGTGCATTTGGCTCCGTCAACAACAGCCGTGTGAAGGCTAAAGTGTACAAGCATTTGTGATGAAATTAAGAAGACTGAAGCAAGCTTTCTAAGACGTTGAGATTGTGAACTGGCGTAGGCTGGACAATGGTAATGATTATTGGAAATGACTCCCAGGCGTCGAACCTTTAGAATCGTGGGAAACGGTTAGGGTTCTCCGAAGGAGCGAGTCGCGATTAGATTCTCGCTTATATGTACTAGCTTAATGTCTCTTAATGTTATATTCAAGTAGTGACATTTACTCTGTTTAATTCCTCACATAAGACTACCGAGAGTGTAAGATGCTACAGTTCTAAATACCATTCCAAGCAATGATAAAAAATTTCCGCCCATCTACTATCAAACTACGATCTGTGGGTTTCAGTCGTTGTTAGCGAAAAGGGCGTACGGAATAATCCAACTTTGAGCTACTTGAGCTTATTCTTCATGCGTGGATAATTCTAGTCAAATTGTTATCTTGCGAAAACGAGGTATAAACTGAAAAAAACTCCCAGCAAAAACCGAAATGACCAGAAAATTTTATTGAACATGTCGAAATGTGTTAAGAGCTGTTGGTCTTTAAGAAGTGTCAGGAGTTGGACTAAGTTTATGATATTTTCTTCCTTTTATAGTTTAATGGATTCAGTGCGGGTAACCAGGAGAGTACAAAATTTATAGCCCTAAGCGTCAAGTAGGTGCTGGATAGATACTCGAGACTGAATTAACGCACTGACGCCCTCGATGAATTATTCTATAATGCTACTTAGTTATTTCAGTCTTGTGCTGGTGACTTCTTTTTGCTTTTCTTGTTTTTCTTGTTGTGTCTCTTCCCGTTTTCGTTGGTGGAAACTGTCTTGTGGAAGGGAGACGTTAGATGTCCGCGAACACTATTAAGCTTGAAAAAATCGTCGTCTAGATCTTGAGCAGCATTGTGAAGGGCTGCCTGTTTTCCGCCATGGTTGACTGATCTAGCTTCTTGTCCGTCCGCCCCCTGTCCGATATGTGCGGAAAACGTCAGCTTGCTTAAATCGCGAGCTAAATCAAATCCTTCGATATTCCTGTGCTTAGCCGCATCAGCCAATTGCTCCTGTCTGGATTCTGGAAGCTTTTGAAAGGTGTACAGCTCCTTATTGAAGTCAGCGCACTCCTCCTTGGAATAAGGTGTATCATCTTCAAGATGTGGTGGAGGATTAACGTAAAGCAGCTTACTGTTGACGTAATCTTTCAGGATATATCTGCTGGCACGAGACTCGTCAGCAGCACCGAAACCCTGGGTCATATAACCGCGCGCTCTGGCGTAAGAGACAAGAATTTCTTGAGCTGTAGGAATACCATCTCCTCCTTCGTCTTCGGATTTTGTCTGGATGTGAATACCATAAGTGGCCTCGATAAAATACTTTGGAATTCTCTCTGCCACAAGATTAGTGGGTCCGATATAGTCTCGCAGCTGATCAATAGGTAATACACCGTTGCAGACCAGCTCACCTTTATTGTATGCAAAATTGGGGAATACTAGACCAGGACAATCGCATAGCATGACACGATCTGATAGCTTTATTGTTTGAAAATGTTTAGTTTTGCCAGGTGTAGCAGAAACCGAGACCTTCTTTGCACCAACCAGTGCGTTGATTGTAGACGATTTACCCACGTTAGGGTAGCCGACCAAACCAATCTGTATTATGGACTCTTTCCCTGGAAGAGGTGTGACTAAAGGCTCTTTGGGTGCCTTTTCTAAGAAAAGCTTCTCTAGCTGGTCGATTTTCAGGATCTGGATTTTGTCCAAAACTTCGGCGTCGACCGCTTCGCCGTCAACCTCCAAAATTTCTTCTTCTTCCTCATCCTTGGGAATGTAATCGTCCCCCAATTCGTTCTGCTTCTCTAAAATTTCATTTGCTCTAGCAGCAGAGAAAAAGGTAAACGATATGCCTCTCGAAAGAAGGTATTTAGCCCATACTATTCTTTGTTTTCTGGTCAACAAGTCGGCCTTGTTGATCAAAAGCAGGTTCTGTTTCCTGTCGTCCAGTTCCTTGACCGAAAGCTCCAAATCTCTCGATCTGAAAAGCAGAGGATCACGGGCATCCACAATTTGTACTACCAGATCAGACCTTTCGGTTACTCTCCAAAGCTGTCTCCAGACCTCAATATTTCTTTCAAACGGCGTAAGTAGTAGATCCTCGTTGGATTCTTGCAGGGTAGCCAATTTCCGTCTCCAATTCAAAAACGCTTCTTTTTCCTGCCTGTCTAATTGCAAACGAGTCATGTTCTGGTTCCACGCGGGCCTTCTGGGAACAATAAGGTTTTTTGCTTGACTTCTTTGCAACTCATTCACTTTCTGTTTCTGGGTATTGGTCAAAGAAACGCCCTGTGATCTTGAATCACTGCCAGCGTCCATTCTGATGATCTTGACATTAGAGTGCCTGTCTGCAGCGAAATCTTTATCGGCAAGTTCTGCTGTATTCAAAAACTCGTCCAGAGCAGATTCCTGAGTAACAGAACTTAGCTTTACCCAGTTAGCTTCATGTTTGTCAGTAGCGAAACGAAGTTCACCGTCTGGTAATATCTGTACTTCGTTTTCCTTTGCACGAGCACTTTGGATTGCTCTACCTAGCCCAATAGTGTTTTTGTTTTTACGGTGAATGGGCTTAGGACCTTTTGGTGGTTTCCATTTCTTAGTTGATTCCTTTGGCGGCATGGTTGGGTATGGATAGGTTTCGTCCTGAATCTTTGAGGCGATGATGAAAGACGCGATGAGCTTTCTAATACTAAAATTTTCGAAGAATCAAGACCGTCGTTCTTAGTGACTTATTATTCTAGATTAGCTTAGCCAGTGGGATCAATGACGCTTCAATGACGCTTCAATGTAGACGGCTTGAGGCTGGATGTTAGGATTAATTAGGCTTCAAGTACCTGGGTGTTATGTTTGTTTTGAGAATCCTCATTTTTTAGGGTGGAAAAGTGACCTGCCACGATTTGAAATATGGTTTTCAAGATGCTTGGTCCCACACTTGAACAACTTTATCGTAGAATGAACACGTTGCGATCATGTTGGCGCTCCAATCGCCACCGTAACACATGGATTCATGGTTTTTCTTCATGCAGCTTTCCACAGTGAGTTCGTCGCTTTCTCCCACTGTAACAATTTTGGCACCGTCATACATGCAGCACACCAGAAGCTTGTTTAAACTGTTAGCGCTTGAGTTCTGTGGAGACTCGACAAAACGCCAAACCCCGCCCCCTAGATTCAGGCTATTTTTTTTAACCGGCGGTATATTATGACCCGGATAAATGCTATCTCCCAACATTCTTAGGTCTAGTGTCCGTATGTGATCGTCATAAGACCCTGTGACGATACTGGTGGGATTCGAATGGCGGAAGGTCGGTGTGCTGGTTTTGATGGCAACAACTCCGGCATCATGAATTCTCGAATTGGCCCATATGTTGCTTCCAGAACGCAAATCATGAGCTGCAATAGTGGCGTCATCACCTCCGGTAAATAGCACGTTGTCGAAGGGCGTCAGCATACCAAATTCCGCTATCCAGCCTTCTAGTTCGTGCTGGTGATCGAAAAGTCTACCTGGAACCTCTGTTGCCACTATGTTCTGGCCCTGGACCTGAATATGCTGTTTCTCGGTTTTCTCGTAAGCGCTGCCTACCGCATCCGCTGAGAAAGTCGACGACAACTGCTCGATGTCCAGTGCTTTTGTTTCACCAGTAGTTGCAGTCACAACTACACAGCGGGGATCCGCAGGGGAGAAGTGCAATGAGGTTATCAGCACCGAGGGCTCAAAAAGTTGCAAGTTAGCGAGTGACTCTAATTTCTGGAAAGTATCATCTTCGTCCATGTGTATTTTCCATAGTTGAACATTTCCCGTGGAATGAGCACTCGCCACCAAAGTGTCATCAAAAGGCCAAATTTTAAGATCCAGAACTGCCCCATAAGTGTTATATTGATGTACTAGCTTTAATTCGCGGTCTCTGATCTCAATTGAACCCGTCCGTAATCCGCTTTCTTTGTCAAGATCGTACGTTCCTAATATAACATACTTGTCACGTACAATGCGCAATGCACATGGGGGCTTTTCAGCATGCACAACACAGTTTGGGGACAGTTCGGTACCACTCATTGGTCTCTCTTCATTCCGTGATGCTTCACCTGTATGAGCTTGAACATTCATATATGTTAGATTTGGTCTCTGAAGTACTCGTGAATACTCATGGTTAACAAGATAATAAGAGATCAAATTGACAGAATATGAAAATAATACTGGCATGATCGTTATCCAACTAGACCGCAGGACGAGATACTTGGATACTAGATTATCTTTGAGTCTTCAGGTAATTGCTTGAAGCCCTTTGAGAGCACGGAGGTCTTTTTTTTTAGAGATTCACCATGGAAAATAACGAGTACTTGGAAGCCCTCGCACCTTTTCAAGAAGGTGTGCCTGCGTGGGACCTGAATCTTAACAAGGAAAAGTATCTGCTGAAGGATTCGAAAAAGAATGAGTTCGATCTAGAAGGCACTATAAAGAGATTCCAGCACTTGTTAAACCTGAGCGGGCTGTTCCGACATTTCATCGAGCGTAAAGCCGCAAAAGACGCCAAGTTTCAGCGAGTTTTGAGCATTTTGGATAATCCAACAGGAGGAAAACGCTCAAAGAACGGTGTTCATCACGACGTTAGAAGAAGGAAAACGGAGAGGGAAGAGGATGCAGAACTCCTGCGAGAAGAGGAAGATGAGGTTGATGGGGAAATTGATTTCCGTTTCAATGAATCACCACCTTTCGTCAACGGATCTCTCAGACCGTACCAGATTCAAGGTGTCAACTGGCTGGTGCAATTGCACAAGAACAGTCTCGCCGGGATTCTAGCAGACGAAATGGGTCTCGGAAAGACACTACAGACTATTTCGTTTCTGGGATATCTGAGGTACGTGGAAAAAACCCCAGGCCCGTTTTTGGTAATCGCTCCAAAGTCAACATTGAATAATTGGCTCAGGGAAATAAACAGGTGGACTCCAGAAGTCAAAGCTTTTATTCTACAGGGTGACAAGGAGGAAAGAGCCAAATTGGTCACTGGAAAGCTTCTGGCATGCGACTTCGAAATCGCCGTAGCATCCTACGAGATCATCATCAAAGAAAAGAGTTCGTTTAAAAAAATCGATTGGCAGTATATTGTGATTGATGAAGCGCACAGAATCAAGAATGAAGAATCCCTCCTGTCGCAAGTCCTAAGAGAATTTACCTCGCGTAATAGACTTCTTATCACCGGAACTCCGTTACAAAACAATTTACATGAGCTGTGGGCTCTGTTGAACTTTCTACTTCCAGACGTTTTTTCTGATTCCGAAGCTTTTGATGATTGGTTTTCCGCGGAATCGACTGAAGAAGACAAAGAGAAAGTTGTCAAACAATTGCACACTGTTTTACAACCATTTTTACTTCGTAGGCTGAAGAACGAAGTAGAAAAATCCCTTCTACCTAAAAAAGAGCTGAATCTTTACATCGGTATGTCCACGATGCAGAAAAAATGGTATAAGCAGATTTTAGAAAAAGACATCGATGCTGTGAATGGATCTAATGGAGTCAAGGAATCCAAGACCAGACTTCTTAATATTATGATGCAGCTCAGAAAGTGTTGCAATCACCCTTATCTTTTTGACGGTGCCGAACCGGGTCCCCCATATACTACCGATGAGCATTTGATCTACAATTCCGCGAAATTGAAAGTTTTGGATAAGCTTTTGAAAAAGTACAGGGAGGAAGGGTCTCGTGTGTTGATTTTTAGTCAGATGTCTAGGGTCTTAGACATCCTGGAAGATTACTGCTTTTTCAGAGAATATCAATACTGTAGAATTGACGGTTCCACGGCGCATGAAGATAGAATTGAGGCGATCGACGAGTACAATGCTCCCGAATCTAAGAAATTCGTGTTTTTACTAACAACTCGTGCTGGTGGTTTGGGTATCAACTTGACAACGGCGGATGTCGTTGTTTTATTTGATTCCGACTGGAACCCCCAGGCTGATTTACAAGCTATGGATAGAGCTCATAGAATCGGGCAAAAGAAGCAGGTTAAAGTCTTTAGACTAGTAACTGATAACTCGGTTGAGGAGAAAATTTTGGAAAGAGCTACTCAAAAATTGAGATTAGACCAACTGGTCATTCAACAGGGAAGAGCTGCAGCAAACAGTAAGGAAATAAAGAAAAATGATACGAAAGATGCTCTATTGACCATGATTCAGCATGGTGCTGCAGATGTGTTCAACTCCAATAGTGAAGCGTCCAGTGGCAAGGGCACACCACAACCCAATTCGGTCGGTGATGTTGACGGAGACCTTGATTTAGACTCCCTGCTCTCTAAATCCGAAGATAAAACGCAGTCTTTAAACCAAAAATACGACTCGCTTGGGCTAGACGATTTACAGAAATTCAATCAGGACTCGGCTTACGAATGGAATGGACAAGATTTTAAGAAAACCGTTCACAAGGAAATCATAAGTCCCAGTCTTCTGAACCCTACGAAGCGTGAACGTAAGGAAAATTACAACATCGATGGATACTACAAAGACAAATTGAACCCCGGTAGATCCACCACACCTGCTCAACCGCGGATGCCAAGACCGCAGCCGTTCAACAGTCATCAGCTTCTTTCGCCTCAATTAAAAGTTCTCTATGAGAAAGAAAGAATGTGGAACACGAAGAAGAACAATTATGTGCCCACATTGGACGATGTTAAGACCACATTCGGAGACATTGCGGACGAAGAGGAGAAGCAAAAGAAGTTGAAATTACTGCAAATGTCCGTGAGCAATGCACAACCGCTGAGCGAAGAAGAAGTGAAGCAAAAGGCGGAATTGGAGGCGGAAGGTTTTGCGAATTGGAATAAGAACGATTTCCGTAAATTCATAGCATCTTGTGGCAAATACGGTAGAAATTCGATTAAGGCGATTGCTTTGGATTTCGCGCCACACAAATCCGAGCAAGAAGTGCGGGATTACGCCAAAGCTTTTTGGGCCAACGTGCAGCGTGTGGAGGACTACGAACGTTACATCAAAAACATAGAAGCGGAAGAGGAAAGAATCAGACGCACGAAACTGCAACAGGAATCGCTTCGCCGCAAGATCGCACAATGCACCAACCCGTTGTTCGATCTGAAGCTCAAACACCCTCCTTCCAACAGCAATAAGCGAGTTTTCTCGGAAGAAGAAGACAGGTTTTTGTTGCTGATGCTGTTTAAGTACGGGATCGACCGCGAAAACGTGTACGAGCTGATCCGGGACGAGATTCGCGATTGTCCGCTGTTTGAGCTTGATTTTTTCTTTCAGAGCCGTACGCCCATTGAGCTGAACAGACGAGCGATTACGCTGTTGCAGTGTTTGGAGAAAGAGTTCAACGTTGGCGTGGTGTTGGATGATGAGATGAAGCAGCGTTTGAAAGAGGAGGATCAGTTTGCACAGGCTCGTCCAGCAGAAGACGACATCGATCCGGAACCAAAACTGAATGGTAACGTTGGCGTGACGCACAGTGTTGATTCCAGTGCCAAACGTGAACTTTCTGGTGACGTTGAGGACCCAGCAGTGAAAAAAGCCAAAATTGATGTTTGAACCAAAACCAACATTCGCCACGCCAAACATACGTAAAACGCCTACATACACACTTACGGCCCGTGAATGATAGATGCTCTTCGTATACTACGAGTCTGAATGTCTGTTTCTGATCTGTTTTGGAATGGCTAGTTAAAATTACATAGTAGTATTATTATTACACGATTGCACTGCAACCGTCGTCCTGCTGCTATCATCGCCTTATCTGTTTAGCAGTTTTTCCACGGTGTGATCGAGGTTTGCTGGTTTCGTGAGCGACGAGTAACGGTCGTGGACGTTGCCGTGCTTGTCGATGAGAAACTTTTCAAAGTTCCACTTGATGCCCTTGAAGCCCAGCATGCCAGTTTTCTCCTGTTTGAGGTATTCCCACACAGGGTCTGCGTCCGAGCCATTCACATTGACCTTTTTCATGATCGGGAACGTCACGCCGTAGTTGACTTGGCAAAACTGGCCGATTTCCTCGTCAGTGCCTGGTTCCTGTTTACCAAACTGGTTGCAGGGGAACCCAATGATTTCGAAACCCTTATCGTGGTAACGTTTGTAGAGTTCCTGGAGGTCCTGGTATTGTGGAGTGAACCCGCATTTGGACGCCACGTTGACGATCAGCACCACTTTTCCTTCCAGTTTCTTGAAAGGGAAGGGCTGGCCCTTCTTGTCAAGAGGGGCTAGATCGTAGAATTTGGAAGTAGAAGATGCAGTGGTTGCAGTTGCAGCGGCCGTGGTGGAAGTGCTGGCAGAATGGTGTTCTGTGGTGTTGTTTGTCATGTTTGAATTTAGGTTTTGGGGTGTGTGTGACGCAGTAGGGGAAGAGACTGCGGAAGTTAGGTGTTTGCCGTTTGACTAAGTTTTTCGTCCTGCACTAAAGAACAAAAGTGGGAACGAGTTGATCGTGGAAGGACTAGATCGAAAAGAGGCTAATATATATATATATATATATAAATAAATATTTTTTCGATGATGATGTCAAGTTCCTTAATTGAAGATGCGAAAGGAAAAAGTCCTTGCACAACATACTCGAAATGAACATAGTTGCTATCTTATAAATACCTGATACCGAACACACAACACACACAACAAAAAGAGACACAAAAAGCGAGGAGCAACATGCGTGGCTCCCCAGTGTGAGGGTCGACCCTTAGAATAAGACGTTTGACATCTTGGCAAGTAGAGAAATCCAGAAAGGCACACAAAAGACGCAACTCAAGATGAGAGCGATGGCAACAGCGAAGGCAACCGCGATTACTGGCACTACCAACGCAGTTTTTTTTTGTTTTGTGACGTCAGTGTGTAACAAACGGGTAGATCTTGATAGTCCGTGATGAGTTTCGGGTCACGTGAAGGGCTGAGAAATCTCTGCTGCGGTCATTAGCAATATAAGCCCTGGCGCCTTCTAATATTGCTAATGTGATATGATAGGGCCAGACGAAACTAGGCTTAAATGGAAGTGTAGCGAGAGTGAAATGAGAGTAGGACAAGAATGGGGCGGTGATTAAAACGTTAGCCGGGAATTCTGGGGTTGACTGTGCGTTGACCGGCTAGTAAGTTTTGTGAAATGGGCCCTTTGAGATTGAATCTAGATCTGTGGATGTCGTGTGACGCGTGGCGTGAAACCACGTGAAGCTAAAAAAGCGTGCGTATGAAGTGATATGAGAAAGCGTTTGATCTTAGCATAATTAACAAGTATAAAAGGCTAGAAGCATAACTGAACAATTGAGAGCGTCAGCGGTCAATTGTGAATAAGCTATGGCTATTAGGATAGTTGAATGATTGAGAGCGTCAGCGATTAATTGTGAAATACAGTGATGGCTATTATTATGATTGAACAATTGAGAGCGTCAGCGATCAATTGTGAATAAGCTATGGCTATTAGTATAGTTTAATAATTGAGAGCGTCAGCGATTGACTGTGGTTAAAGCTATGACTACTAGTGAAGTCGAATAATTAAGAGCGTCAGCGATTAATTGTGAAATACAGTGATGGCTATTATTACGATTGAACAATTGAGAGCGTCAGCGATCAATTGTGAATAAGTCTTGGCTATTAGTATAGTTTAATAATTGAGAGCGTCAGCGATTGACTGTGGTTAAAGCTATGACTACTAGTAAAGTTGAATAATTAAGAGCGTCAGCGATTAATTGTGAAATACAGTGATGGCTATTATTACGATTGAACAATTGAGAGCGTCAGCGATCAATTGTGAATAAGCTATGACTATTAGTGTTGAACAATTGAGAGCGTCAGCGATCAGTTTAGCACAAGAGTAATGGCAAAGACTAGGCTAATAGCAATACACAAATGAGACCGTCAGCAATCAATTGTGAAACACGGTGATGGCTATTACTATAATTGAAAAATTAAGAGCATCAGCACTCAATTTCGAAGAAGAGAGATGGCAAATACCACTGTAGAGATGGTCGAGGGCATATCTGAACAATCGGGAGCTTCAGCAATCAATAAAGATGACCAACACCATTTTAGAGACAATCAGAAGCATATCTGAACAATTGAGAGCTTCAGCGATCAATAAGAAAGAAAACCAGCATCGTTCTAGAAGTGGCCAAGGGCATTGTAGAGACGGTCCAGATCTTTGGCGATCAATTTCAAATAAGAGATAGTCAACGTCATTTTAGAGCTGGCTTAGACTCTTGTAGAGACGGCCAAGTGTTAACGCTCGTGTTGAGACTCTTTCTCTGAAGTTTCGTTGGACAATAGACCTCTTTTACCTTTGGCGATTCTTTTCATTACCGATAGTGTAAATTGTCTTCTTATCAAGTCAGAGTTACCTCTCGCATTCATACATTTCTTGAGGTGTTTGTCATTGACAGATATCGAGAGTGTCACGCGTGAAACTACTTCAGTGAATAGCTGCATAGGTTTCACCATGAATAAAAGTGTCATTCGCTTTAGATCTGCAGTTTTGCTAGACTCTTGGACTATCGCGTCAATTCTGCCGCTGTCATGGTGTCACGTGTTTTATTATTGATCTGACGCTATACAAACAGAGGCTCCGGCAATATTGTAGAGATGGCCGAGACCATTGTTGAATTACTAGGAGCGAGCGCGATCGATTGTGGATAGAAGAAATGGTCGAGCACCATAGAGATGGTAACCATTGCTGAACAATAGAGAACTTCGCTGAACAATTGAGAACTTCGCTGAACAATTGAGAACTTCACTGATCAACTTCGGATATTAGAGTTGGCTAAGACCCTTATAGAGTTGGCTAAGACCCTTATAGAGTTGGCTAAGAGCCTTATAGAGTTGGCTAAGACCCTTATAGAGTTTGCTAAGACCCTTATAGAGTTTGCTAAGACCCTTATAGAGCTGGCCAAGACCATAACTGAAAAATTGAAAGCATCAACAAACAGTTGTGGAAACAGTAATGGCTACTAGCAGAATGAAATAACTGAGAACGTCAGCGATCAATGTGAACACTTGAGAAAAATCTCCCGCAGCTTCGTCTTACTCTTTGCTAAGGTCTGACATTTGAATGTGCCTATCACTAATCGGCCCTGCAGTCCCATACCAACAAACATCAATAGATAGAAACCCTCAAGAAGGGGTATTCACACACCGACGAGTATCCAAATCCTCGCAAAAGACCAAACGAAACATTTTGTGAGGGACCTGGCTGTCAACAACTTAAGAGCATCACAAGCATCAAAGACGTTGTTCCTCAAGCTCGAAAGTCCCATAAAACATGCGCAAGCTTTATTGGCTTTTCCAACAGGAATTTCACGACCATAAGTGAACTCAATTTTTTCTTGACGATTGACCACCATTCAACTCGGTGGCGTCCCAGTTTGTTAGTCTTGGCAAGAATACCAACCAATTCACTCACTAATAATCACAACCGATCCATCAAACAGCTGGAGTTCACCTTGTAAATGACATCGAAATTTGGATCTCTGCTGCTAAAAGGGGCTGTTTAACTCGAGCTTCAACCGCCTCGACCAAAATATCAATACCCACCTTTGATTCTCAAATCAATTGGGGATGACGTTTACGCGGCAGGAAATATGTGCTCAGCGTAACTGTCAACAGATTATCGCGAACTTCGAGAAGCAAGATGCCGATCCCGTTGAAGATTTGTGAACTAACGTAAGAATTTACGTTTTGTGCTGGAAAGGCAGTTTCGAGAAATCATGAAATTAGGCTCTTGTTCCACATTAAACAATTGATCTCCTTCGAGATCCTTACAAACTCTCACGCAGTTTTACCTTGAAAATTATATCCAGCTCAAAAGAGAAGACAACAGCGAAAGTAACCACTTTTCTACTTAATGATTTTCCGGTTGACCCGAAAATCTATCCAATTGGATAGAGTTTTACACTCTACCCCTCAAGTATTTTGATTCATGCTCTCAAATTTCGATGTCCGACGAAGATTTGAAGAATGTATGCATCAGACTCAATCATCTTGATGCTGTAGAGGAAAAGTACAGATTCAAGATTTTGTCAAGGTCCTTGTTTGAGAGATTCTATATTTTGTTAACACACAGGTAGAGTACTAGGTTGCTCACATATTGAGGACAAATATGGGAATACAATCATAATCCGAATTACGCGATAGAGAGACGAAAGGGACTACAGTCAGTAAGGCATCGAACTATCTTGAGAACTATTTTTCTTGCCATACCTCCCACACTTCGACAGAATTTGCCTACCGTGACGCATGTTGTTCATGATAAGGCGAAGAGATGATACCCAAGAAAAAGCTAAAAGCGCTCAACAAGTTTGATGCAAAACTCCAAAACGTAGCGTCTGAGCGCGAGACGTTACGGGAATGTGGGCGCTACGATAAAGAGACGCCTCATGATCGCTACGATTTTTCCACCATTGGAAGGCAAACAGAGGCGGGTTCTCACAATTTTCTTCCCAGGCATTACCTTTCAAGTATACCAAATTTTCTACGGCTGACGTAGAACGGTGTTTTTTCATGGGAGTGCTTTCGAAAGGCGAATTTCACTATCCAGCGCGAACCGTAACCGGCCAATGGTCCTTAGAAACCGCTTGAAGTGTTTTGAGCTCCAGGATAAGTTCGAGGGATTCACCTCGATCGAAAAGACCAGTTCAATGCAAGACAATATGTCAGATTTTTCTATTGATGTCAGAAACAGTTTAAGTGATCAGCATGCTAACATTGAGTGAGCTAACATTTTATGCAAAATTTCAAACTCATATGTCGAGTGAAACCCGGCAGCTCATCACTCTGTCTTGCTTGCGATCAAAAAGCGGTTTTGTTCGTAGTGTCAGGATAAATGGGAATTCATAAACAGAGCGGACAACTCCAGCGTGCTAAAGACAACTGACAGTACCCTGAACGGTCACTTTTGATCCTCCCGTCGCTGGCGCGTGTCACGTAATCGTCTTCATGAAGCAGCTATGCTTCGCAACAAAAGGTAACAAGCCCTTACATTTCTTCCTCTAGCGCATATGGCTCAAGCACGAATTGGCGCCACTTTACAATGTGTAAGCGGTGAGTCCTACTTCTTTTCACGACAAATGTCACAGGTTGTTGAGGGCTTTGTTAAGATGTAATTAAAAACCAAAGTATACGAAGGGCAACGGACGGCGTGGTAGGTTCACCTAGTCATCTGACATTGAAGTCGCTGAACTGGGCTATTAATTTAACCGCGGGTCTCAATGTGATGCTCAGGATCGCGGCGATTATGATGAATTTCTGCATGCTGGTGAAGATATACCTGAAGTTGTCAGTCTTCCGAAAAAAATGCGGTAACCACACTGCTAGTCCTTATATTGAGCTCCTCTTAGGTGTCTGCTTTAAAAAAAATTCGAACTTCGGTGTTCTTCATGCCGCGCAACTTGCTTTAGAGATCAAGTGGCGATGATCTTAGCATAACACTTTCCATCAAAACTGTATCTAAACCTGTCGCCATCTGTAATTATTTGAATTCACTCGCAAAAGGTCTCTTGGATCTAGCGTTTATTGTCTTTCTTCATTAACAAACCCCCCTCCATCATCGAGTGGAACGCATCATTTAACTTTTCTCGTTGTATTGTTTCATTCAGACTAAGCTTTTGATGACGCCCGAAAGTCGATAGTGAAATAGTGATTGACAAGTAGCTCTGACGGTTCCTAATCAATGCCGCTTTCATCTATTTTTGAGTCCTTTCAGCTTTACCTGCACGGCGTTCACACGCGGAATATTTCCCAGCAGTTCTCCCTTCTCCCGCCTTTCAAGACCGCTGTTGGGCGCTAATGACAGACATGCACTTGAACTCATTCGAATACGATGATTTCCATAGACGCACTTTCCCGTCGTCCCCCGCAGAACTGAGAATAGTGCCTGTCAAATTCCAGGATACAGACCATACCTCGCCCTTGTGGTCGCCACTTTCGCTGATTAGCTCAACATTCAAGCCGGAATCTTTGCTGTTGCTTTCAGATGAGTCGCTGTCTTGATCAACACTCATAGAATCCTCATCAATCCGACCTCCTAAGTTGCCCTTCGACGTCTCTGTAACTTTGAAGATCCGAACTTTCCCGTCTTTGCTGCCGGTGGCTATCAACTGATACCATCTACCAATTGACGAAGCCCAACTCACGGATCTTATTAAGCCTTCGTGGCCTTCGAGCTTTGCAGCCACATACATTTTATCGTTTTTATCCTTTTGATAGATCAAGGCCTGATCTAAAGCGCATACAAGTAGTGTTTCGCGTAGAAATCTAGACGGGCACCAGGTTAAGCAAAAATCAGACTGTAAATGAGAAGCGGGTGAAGAACCAAGTACAGGGACTTCAGTAGTCAAGCTCCAGGACCTCAGGTCCGATGGCTCCAATGCTTCGTATATTCTTAGAGTTCCGTCGTTGCCTAAAGCTCCTAACTTCAAACCTAAATGGCCAGGAGCAAATTTCACACTGAATAGAGGTCCCGTAGCATCATTCAACGTGCAAAGTTTAGTCCATCTGCGTCCAGAGCATTCTGGAGCATCTGGTTCTTCTTCCCACAATCTAATCAGCTTGTCGTAGGACACCGATGCAATAATTCTACCATATTCGGGGCTTGCCCAATCCAAACTCACCACAGAGCTATCATGAGCTTTCCAAGAATCGCTTAGTTGCCATTCGTTGGTTTCTCGATCCAATCTAAAAACTTTGATGTGCTGGTCCGATGAACATGTTGCAACATGTCTACCGTAAAAATCGTACGCCAAGTCATGGACCAAATCCTCATGTCCCGTAACAAAAGGTTTCATTATATACAAGTCAATAATGCAACGCTGAAATCGAGCTTTTTAGAATCCTACAATTGACTTTTAATTGTATTTTGATCGACATCTCTAAGACCACGTCGATGATATTTAATATTTGATATATTAACGTTTATCAGATGTCAGTCGAAAGTCAACATCAACCATCATTTCACCAAAAACTAAGTATCTAAGTCAATTCCTAGTGCTAGAATGCGACAATACCTGTTAATATTACTCGCTGTATCTCTGCTGTACTTTTCGAGACATTACTCGCCACTTTTGGCTGCAATTGCGTTCGCTATCCTAGGATATCAGGCTACAAATGCCTTGATTCCATGTGTGTCGGCATCGTTTGTGAAAATAGGGCTATTTGGTAAAGATCTGAGCAAACCGGAGAGACCTGTTCTTCCTGAGTCCATTGGTGCGATCTCAGCAATGGTTTACCTTTTCATCATGTTTTTCTACATCCCATTCCTGTTCTACAAATACCTCGTGGTTATTACATCCGGTGGAGGTCATAGGGACGTCTCCGTCATGGAATCAATGGCACAAGAAGAGTACCTTTTTCCACACGGTAAAATGTCTGAGTACTTGAGTGCTGTTCTGTGTTTGCAGAGTACAGTGCTTTTGGGAATGGCAGATGACCTCTTTGACCTGAGATGGAGACACAAATTTTTTTTGCCTGCCGTGGCAGCAATCCCACTCCTTGTGGTTTACTACGTGGATTTTGGTGTGACTTACGTTTTAATACCGGATGTGATCAAAAACTGGTTCCCAACTACAAAAACTGCATTGAACCTGGGAGCATTTTACTACGTCTACATGGCATCCATGGCCATTTTCTGTCCAAACTCCATAAACATATTGGCCGGCATCAACGGTTTGGAAGTCGGGCAAAGTATAGTGCTGGCTATTATTTCTTTGATCAACGACGCGCTATATTTGACGCTGGGAAATGAAGCGTCAAAGGAAGCTCACAGGTTCTCAGCCATACTTATTATTCCTTTTCTTGGAGTGGCTATTGCCCTGTGGAACTGGAACAAGTGGCCCGCTAAGGTTTTTGTCGGTGACACTTTTTGTTATTTTGCAGGCATGATTTTCTCAGTGGTCGGCATTCTTGGTCACTTCTCAAAGACTACTCTACTGTTGTTCATTCCCCAAACACTCAATTTCATCTATTCTTGTCCACAGCTGTTTGGACTGGTGCCTTGTCCCAGACATCGAATGCCTCGATTTGAAGAAAAAAATGGATTGCTGTATCCGTCAAGAGCTGAATTCTCCGATAAACCACCCAAAAAAATAATGATGCCGATTCTTCGACTCCTGCATACTCTTAAATTGATAGACCTTCAAATTGAACCAAAGACCAATGAGATCAAGAACTGCACAAATATGACGCTGATAAATCTCGTGCTGGTTTGGTCGGGACCCTTGCGCGAAGATAAACTATGCAACAGAATTTTAACCCTTCAATTGTTCATTGGAGTTACAGCCATAGCAGCGAGGCACTGTTTGGGGTCCCTCATTTTTGGCCACGATAACATTCAGTTTATATAGCTCGAATGCCAGCTATCTATACGCCGTAAGATGCAGTTAGATTTGAATAGATAATTTAAACGTGAAAAATTCCTGTAGGCGGTGACGATTGAGCCATAATTCTTTGGTTTCATTTGCCTAATTTCGAGTACCAAGCTTCGCGTTTCTGAACTAGATCGTGGGCCCAGCCTTTTATTTCCTCGGTTTTAATGCTCTTAATGGCGTCCCAAAACTGATCCAAGTCTCGCTTCCCACCGGCTCTTTTCTCGTATTCGAAGCATTGAACTAGCATTTCGAACTTGTCGATATCTTTGACGTATCTGGCTTCCAAAGAGCTTATGTTCTCATACGCGAGCCAATCGTCCAAAATTTCCTGTGCGGCAACGGGATTGTAGGGTTTGATCAGTTCTTCACACAGATAGTTGATCGTAGCCAACTCTCGTAAATGCTTTTCATCTTTTCCCACAGGATCAAAAGGTGTAATGTCACCAACCAAGGATTCTGCGATATCGTGTACCATAGCGATACGCACGCATTTATCTCTGTTGACAGCAGGATCTTTAATTAACATGGCCGTAATGCCCATACGATACATATGATCAGCGATACTTTCGCAAGCCGTTATTCTGTGGTCTAGCCAGCCTGTCCGTTTCTGGACTTTGAGTAGTTCTACAATATGCATAAAAGCCAAAACATGATTTTGATCGGAACTAGCAAGCAGATCTTTTATTTCTTGCGGTACGTGATCCTGGGGTCTCCAAGTAGACGTTGTCATTGTAAAAAGCCCACGTTTACGCAACTCAAAGCGTGCAATAGCCGGTTTGAAGATCGACAAGTGTGCTCTTGGAAACATTCAACGAAACGTTTGTTTTCATGTAAAAGTTCGTGAAATAAACAAACATTATATATACTCTTGAAATTAGTCAAGCTAGCTCATCGCGCGATAAAATTCCGAACCATTCAAACCGTTCTCCATCAATCGCTCTACGAAGATGTGGAAACGTATCAGTATTGGTTTGAAATACTACAGTTGTTACTATTGTACATGAAAATGGCTCAAAAGACATCTGTTACTTTACACATTTTGATTAAAAAAGAGCACAGTAAAGAATTTTATGCTTAGGCGATCAATTCGACAACACCACCAGCAGCTCTGATCTTCTCTTCGGCCAACTTGGAGACGAATCTAGCCTTAACAATGACTGGAACTTCTGGGATTCTACCCTTACCCAAGACCTTACCGTAGCCAGCAGCTAGAGTGTCGATGACTGGGGCAGCAGACTTAGAGGCAGACTTCAAGTAGTCGTCTCTCTTGTCCTCTGGGACCAAAGTCCACAACTTGTCCAAGTTCAAGACTGGCTTCCAGAAGTGAGCGTTCTGTCTGTGGAAGTATCTCATACCGACCTTACCGAAGTAACCAGGGTGGTACTTGTCCAGGTTGGTTCTGTGGTGGTGCTGACCACCGGCCATACCTCTACCACCGGGGTGCTTTCTGTGCTTACCGACACGACCCTTACCGGCTGTAAAGTGTTTTTGTTAGTAAAAAAAGATCCTTTTGTTTTTGGAAAAAACGGCCTGCTGAGTGTTGGCTTTTCGTTGTTCTCCTGGGTAGAGAAGCGCAACAGGTGGATTGAAAGGGAAATGGAAGCGATTCTCGTTCTTCGATTAAAACGAAAAACAAAAATTGCTTCCTGGAAGAGAAGCGGGTAAAGAGAACTTTGGAGGGAAAATAATGTTTTGCATTCTTCCCCAGTCCTACAGCTTCAATATCAGTGAAAGCCACAGTACAAATTCAAACAACGCGCATGATAAGCGAGCTTTTCTATCTTTGTCTGGTCATAACACCTTACCCTTTCGAGTCCACGTTGTTGCGTCTGTTCCTCCTCGTCCCAGAAAAATCAACGTCTTGGTTCTTTCATTCCCTCTTCCATGGAACTACATACCTGAGACGTGACCTCTGTGCTTTCTGGTCTTGGTGAATCTAGATGGCATCTTTGTTGTCTGAGGACTTGAGCTAAAATAGCGTGAAGTAACAACCTATACAGAACAGGTTGAGTCTAAGATGGAAGTAGCTTTAAAGTTTGAATATTGTCGATGGGAGTGCGTTGGTGAAAGATTTCAATCTTTTTTTTGCGTGGGTATCATGATTCTATAGTTTTTCAATTTTTTTTCGAAAAAGCTGAAAACTTTTTTGAGGAAACGCAGTCACAAGCAAAACATAGATGTTTCGTACAGAGATACAGGAGACAGATGAGAAATGGTTCGTTAATGGAAAAGATGGAATTTGTGATGCTCCAGACGTTGTGAGGGGATGAAACTGCTGGTTTGCTGAAAGTAGAAGAGGAAAGTGGAAAGGTTTTGGTTTATCACTGTGTAAGAATGTGACACTGCGGTTCTGGTCGCTTTCTACGTAGTCATGTGGGATGGGTGGCACATTAGGACCGGAGTTTTGGTATTCAGCGATAGAGGCATAAAAGTCGTCTTGGCGTGGTCTGACCCAGGTTTTAAAGATCTTATTAAGACTATACAGCTGCCGAAAGACAATACACAGCTCTCGAACATTGTAACACTTACAAAGGACTGGTTGAGCCACGTGATTATACACATTTAACTGCGAATATCTTCTTTTAATTCCCCCTCGATAAGATCCTCGCCGCCTTGTTCCTCATCAATTTCTTCTCTTATCTATCTGCTCATTCGAAACCTCTCTCCTTAGCCACTCACATTGAAAGTCAAGTTCCCTTCCGAAAACAAGTAATTAAATTTGAAGGCCCGCCTCACTCTCTACACCGCACCTCGAAAATTAAAATCCTGATAAAACAACTCAATCATTAACTAAACTTTCTTGCCACGATATCAGTCACACACCTCAACGTTTGCTAGTCTAAAAATCATGCTTTGAATCACCATTCTAATGATTCTCGGTATCATTAGGTACGTCTATGTCGCTGTTTTATTCACCTACTCATTCATAAAAGTGTCAAATGCACTTATCAATATATCAACAGTGTCTCCCCTGCCGACCTCGAGCATCTGCCGTAGGAAGAAGAGAGGATCGAGACCCACTCTCTTGCCATGGAATCACAAGCTCTCATGCCCAAGAAACCAAAAGTAACACCTTCTCTTGCATTTACCACGCTAGTGGCGTGTTTTGGGTCTATCCAATATGGATACCATATGGCTGAGTTAAATGCACCAGCACAAGTTCTATCATGCTCTAAATATGTCAATCCATGGCCCGACACTCCGTATGACCAAACATGGCTTGGATCGCACGGTTTCAACGAATGTATCAGGCTTTCTGAAGAACAACTGGGGCTTGCAACTGCTATATTTTCAATTGGCGGACTTGCGGGCTCGTTATATGCGGGCAAATTGGCAGATCGATACGGTCGTAAACGCTACAGTTTTGTCAACTGCATCGTAGGTATATTGGGGTCGCTGGTGCTATTTCGCGCAAATACGTATGCGCAGTTGATTGCGGGTCGTTTTATCGTGGGCATATGTTGCGGTAGCTCCATAGTGGTGACACCCCTTTTCATCAATGAAATTTCGCCTCAAGAGCTGCGTGGATCCATGGGATCCATGAATCAGGTGTGTATCAACCTAGGGATTCTGGTGACACAATTGCTTGCTCTTTATCTCGCAGATTCGTTCCGTTGGAGATGGCTTATGTTCACCGGTGCCATTCTTGCGCTGGCAAACTTGTTACTACTTTTCAAAGTGGATGAATCACCAGTATGGCTGGCGTCCCAGGGGGACGTGGACGGTGCAGAAAGCGTGCTACACAGCTTGCGTGGTGGAGAATTGCACAACACTCGTGACGAGGTCGAAGAATGGCTCACAGCTCGGGGATCTTCCAGAGGCGGTGGAAGCTACCACTCAAATCCGAGACGGTTAAGCCCTCCCATAAGAGCCGCATCGCAACAGTCGTCTCTGCTGTCGTCACAAGATACACACGACAGATTATCAGTAGCACAGTACTTCACCGATCCTCGCTACACCAAATCGCGTTGGGCCATTGCCGTGATATTAATGAGTCAGCAATTTTGCGGTATCAATTCTCTTATATTCTATGGTGTGAGAGTGATCAGCGGACAGCTGCCCCAATATGCCCTCGCAGTAAATTTTGCAATCTCGATCGTGAACCTGGTCGCAACCTTTGGTGCGTCCTTACTCGTGGATCACTGGGGTCGCAAACCATTACTCATTTCCTCTGCAGGTTCCATGTCTGTTGCCACGGCTTTTGTGTCTCTTGGGATCGTTACCGATAGCTCTGGCGTCTTGGTGACATTCACAATCATCTACGTGTGCGTATTCGCACTTGGACTGGGCCCAATCCCATTTTTAGTCATTTCTGAGCTTTCCCCACCAGAGGCAAGAGGAATTGCTCAAAGCTACGGAACTACTTGCAACTGGATTGCCACGTTCATTGTCGGCTACGGATTTCCCTTTCTTCACCGATGGTTAGGTGGTTACGTTTTCCTGGTTTTCACCGCTTATGCGGCTGGTTTCACAGCCTACGTTAAGTACGAAATTCCTGAAACCAAGGGAAAGCTCGAAGCAGATTTACGGTGGAGAGAATAACAGTCGAATGGCCCTATATAGAAACCAAACACATAGAAACCAAACACATGCAAACCTTGATCATCAAATCTCTTGGCTGACGCTTTATTTTTCCAGATCACTTTTTCCTGGAGAGTCGTTTTCCGGTGAATATATCTTCCGGCCTCGAAATTGCATACTTTATTGAAGGAACTAAGTGCATTGAACTCGAATAGTTATACCTTCATGAGCTACCCATACAACAATGTTAATGCCGTACAACTTATCATTCAATTCTTGGTCCCATCAGAATAAAATATGATCGAAATGTAAAAAAGTTGCAACCTGGAAACCATCGAGGTTACAATCAGCTCTTCCAGACGAGTTTCCACATCTTTGCCCTCAGTGAAGCGGATATCTTGACAAGACAAGATACCAAGGGTCTCTTGAGCAAAGACACATCATGAAGAAAGCTTTGGTAGGCGAAAAAGCCAATTCAAGAACTTTCACGGGATGCTGGGCGTGCCGATATAAAAAACGACGTTGTGACGAACGAAAGCCGTACTGTTCACTGTGTTTGCTTCATGGAGACAAGTGCTGCTATGATGTACGACTGGTTTGGCAAAACGAGAATATTTTCTCTGTCAATGGGGACAACGAACTCATCACTTGGAAAAAACTCAAGAAGCTATGTAAGAAACCCTGCAAGAATAGGATGTCCAAACAGGAATTTTGTCGGAGGACAAAATTCCGCGAGCTTTCTCCAGCAAATTCGGACGATGAAAGTACCGGTAAGGACATAGCTCAAGACAGTGATAGAGTAGACGATACCGAATTGCAGGACTGGGATCGTAATGACAGTGACGGTGGAGACGAAAAGAGGGCGACTTCTTTCACGATCAGTGTTCGAAGGCTCAAACTGTACGAAAACGCACTCGATTGTGTTCATGGGAAAAAAATCAAAGACTACAGCCAACGACATGTCAATCAACAGCTTTCAGAACTTTTAACTGCGCTAGAAGAACGAAGTCGAAATGGAGAATGCTGTGGCAGTGGCCCGTTCCACGTCTTTAAACAATTGACCTCTGAAAGCTCACTAGCGATCAAACACGTATCTCCGAGTCTTCAGGCTTTCAAATCTGAACCTACATGTTGTGGGCCCGCCGTTCTCCCCGATACTCCAATATCGCAATCATCGTCTTCTTCTGCTCGTCCGTCCACAGCAGACGAGACCAGCACATTCCTAGTGTGCCAATGGCCTCTGTTATTGCAGTCAAACCAGTCGAATTTCTGTATACAACAACCGGCTTACGTGGAATGGTTGACAAGCTGCATCGAGAGCGGTATCAGTTCAGCAGACCCGGAATTCTTGGAAGAACTGATGCAGCAGAGATTGCAGCCTTCAAAATGGCTCCCTTTGATACCTCAGTTTTCAATGGAAATGCAGACAATGTATCTGGTGCTAATGGTTCTTGAAGATGCTTCAAATCAATACGTGGACTATCTCTCTCGATGGATACAGTCGCAAACGAAAATTTCGTATCTATCCTTCCCGTTACTGGCCTACACCTTGAGTCACAATACGAGTATCACTTTTCTCATCCACTGTCATGAACTTCTGTCCGAGGCTGGCCTACAGGACCTATTCCAGTACGATTTGACGGCAATGTTGAAGATTAACACAGTCCGCCTAATATTACAACACTGGAGCAATGTAATGATGGACCAAATTTGTGAATGTAAAGACACAACGCATGCAGAAATGCAACTTAAATTCTGGGAATTGCAGTTGCAATGCAACGAGGAGTTTTATAGAGACATATGTTTGGTCTAAAGTAAATCACATCTTCTACGAGTCATGTTAATAATGCGAGTGAATTATCTCGCTAAAATATTAAAGAACCATGCATATAAACATTAGATCATCAGCGCACGTTGGCGTTTGCGATGGATGCGACCTTAAACGACTCGTTACGGGCATTGGTCAACTTCTTTGGTTTGTTGCTGTCTTCTTCGTCCTTGAAGAAAACTTCTAAATCAGAATTGGTAGAGAAATTTGGCTGTAGTTGTTCCCAAATCTTTTTCTTAGGGTTGAGTTGCTTGGCAGGCTCTTCATCGCCGAAACCTTCGAAAAAGACCTTTTCGCCGGCTTTGCTGCCCTGTGGTGGCTGAACAAATTCGACATTGTTTTCATCTGAACCACACAACACCATTGCTGTGGATTTGATACCTCTCATGTTCACAGGTTTCAAGTTGCAGACAGCAACCACGTAGCGTTCCTGCATGGCTTCAAGTGGGAAATACTTGACCAAACCGGAGCACACGGTTCTGGGACCCTCTTCGTCGCCAACGTCGATAGTGGACACATATAAGGAGTCTGCATCTGGGTGCTTTATACACTTCTGGATGAAACCAATACGCAAATCAATAGCAGAAGGTCTTGGCTTTTGAGGTTGTTGTTCTTGTTGCTGTTGAGCTTGCTGAGACTGCTGGGCTTTCTTGGCAGCTTTTTTGGCCTTAGCCTCTTCCCTGAGTTTTTTCAAGGTTTCCTCGTCGGGCTTACCCTTTGGACCTTGCTTAGAAGCATCAGCCTTCGCCTCAGACTTGCTTACCGGCTTGGATTCATCGCCAGCTGGTTTCTTGACGTCCTCTTTCTTCTTCTTTTCAATCACTTCGCGGGGCAATTCAAGGTCGAAGTTAAGGGAAAGCTTGCTTTCCTCAGAAACCTCTAATAAATCTTGTAGGTATGCACTCCATCTAATGATGTGTCTGTACTGAGCATAGTGACCTTTGACGTCTTTCGAGGAAGCCAAAAGATCCTTGATAATAGGAAAAACTGATTCGAAAACAGTGACATCGGTTTCAGTAGGTGTCAAAGTCCCTAAAATGAACGAATGGTCTCTTAGGCGCAAGTTAAGCTCTTCAATGTGACTTTGAATTTGTCCGGATTTCACCACAGATTCCCATTGCGTAGCCAACGCAAGTTGCTCGTTGTTGAGCTCGTTAGAAAGCGAAAGAGATCTAAATTTCTCAATCAAAGTAGACATGATTTCACTGTTCAAATTCGGGTGAAGAAATCGACTAGGGTAAGAATCAATAGAGTATCGCTATGAGATATAGTTGATGAGCACTACTGTACCTAATAATCCAAAATTTTTCTAGCTTATAGCTTAGAGACTAGTCACTATAAACGGGATACGCTCATCACAGGGTTTTGAACAAGCAATTCGGAGTCACTTGTGGCTCTGACAGTGTTGTTGGCGAGTGCAGATGGTAGAAGGATGCCTGTTGCTTCAAGAGCGAGATTGAATTTACGTTTGCAAATCGCGGAAGAATAATGCTTGTTAAAATTTGACGAAGAACTTCAAATTCCGAGGGCGTTGGCAGCCACCTCGTAGGACGATAGATGCGCCAGGGAAATTGATTGAAGTCAAAATGCGACTTACACAGCCCGCACTTAAGGTTTTGACTATCTTGGCATAACGACGACACTATAGTACAAAGTGATCTAGTTTCGGACTTGGGCCATGGAAGATTAATAAGTTTCGTCTAAGCGAGAGACTACACGAAACTTACACCATACAATGGGGAGCAGAAACAATCAAAGACGGTGCATCCAGTAGCAAGAACATTCCCAGCTCTAGAAATGTGAAGTAAAATAGAATAAATTACTTGTGAAGTCTCACGTGATTTTCCACAATGTTAGTGAAGCAAATCTGGTGCTACATTAAAATGGTCCTAACGATTAGTAGTAGTCACCCAAAGTGTTTCATTCTCGAGAATCATTGTTGTATCATACTCAAAACTTACCTGCTTCAACTTTGCTTGTTCTGGACGACTATTATCATCTAGACATATACTTACGCACTAATAATTAACACCTATTAATACTGGAAAGCCAGGGCGATGAGCTAACGGCCCGTTTAATCATGCATGTGTGAGAAAACAAATGGCACTGCGAAGAACTAAGACAAGTGTAGCGTGTATCAACTGCTCAAAGTCTCATGTTATTTGTGAAGAACGAAGACCATGTACTCGCTGCATCAAGAAAGGTCTAGAGAAGTCGTGTGTTGACACACCGAGAAAACGACGCAAATACCTGGCAGATGTGCCAAACGAACACCTTACAGAAGGGCCGTTCAAACAGCCTCTAGAAGAAAGGCCGAAATTTCAACGCATAGAAAAATCTAAAAACATCGCACATAAGCCTCGGTTTATGTCGGATGCCGTAGATTCAGAATACTCTATCTTATCGGACATTATACATCAGGACGCATTATTAGAAAAAGTCCCCGTTGAACTACTATATTCGCAAAACATCGAGCAATCTTGTAATGGCACGCGGTACTCAACGCCCAATTCCAACTCGGCATCGAGTGGTCCGTCATTGGTAGCACCTTTGAGAGACCCTCTTGGCTATCCCACAGCTCCTTCTGCCAACACCATCATGCTTGATCAAAGAGGAAGGTATCGGACTTTACTAGGGGAGAAAGGGCGCGAGGCCTTACAGCAAGATGTGGATATACTTACAACACATTTCCCTCTAATTCCGTTTGAAAACCAAAATACTCAACCCGTCATCGACTCACACATTGCGAACGGGAGCGTACGACAGTACTATTTACATCATCAACGCTCTCTTGCTGATATCATCAATTTGTTAAAGCCCGATGAGAAGTTTGTCTCGCTGGCGCTAGATGTAACATCGAAGGAGCAGCGTGCCGTGCAGAATTTCCCTGAAATTGCACACACACTGCGGTACGAAACCCCACTTGAAATATACACCCTCATATCTGCTCCCTTCTCGCATACGTCCGGTTTCCATTCGTTGCTACAATATCTGAGGTCTCGTTTCAGCAGAGCGGACATTCTAGAAATGTGTCGATCACTTGCCGAGTTTCGTCCTATTTTCATCGCAATTGCAGTAACTCTGACAGAAGAAGACATGATTTTCATGGAACAATGCTATCAAAGAACGCTCTTGGAGTATGATCAATTCATATCACAGATTGGCACACCAACGTGCGTGTGGCGACGCAACGGGCAGGTGTCATACGTTAATGACGAATTCACGCTTTTGACAGGATGGTCCCGACCTGATGTACTGTTCAAAATGACATTTATCGTAGAACTCATGGATGACCCGAGTGTTCGTGAGTATTTCAAGACATTTAAGCGCGTAGCCTACCAGGATTTCAAAGGTAGCGAACGTATGGAAACGTGCCGATTATTAACACCCGTTCGGAACCAAGTAATCAACTGTTGTTGCATTTGGACTTTAAAACGAGACGTTTTTGGGTTACCTTTGATGATTATCGGCAATTTCATGCCGATATTGAACGAAGGCATCCAGTGAAACACACAAGATTACTGGCTACCTAGCAGGTTTCGGCTGGAAAAAATTAATGAACCTAGTTGTTACGTGTATTGATGTGCTGCGTTAAGGGAAAAAAAGCTAAATAGATGTTATCCAAAGCCCCATACTCCTACTGCCTTAGAATATCCTCGATGAACTTGCGGTAGTCCACACCACCATCGGCGTCCACCTCCACACCTTTGAGAAGTTCATCGACTTCTGCATCTGATAGACGTTCCCCTAGACCCGTCAGCATGTAGCGAATATCACCCACAGAGACTTTGCCCTCGTTTTCCTTGTCGAAGACCTGGAAGGCTTTGATGAAGTCCTCTACCTGAGCCTTTGTGGTTTTGTCCAATGCCTCACGGTGTTTTGACACCAAAGTCGTGATCTCATCAAGTGTCAAGGCGTCCGGAGCATCGGTTCCGACTTCTTCCACTAGCGCATTGGTTGGATTGAATCCAATGGCACGCAGGTAATCACCCAGTTGTTGTTTCGAGATTTTGCCTCTGGCTTGTTTATCAAACAGCGTGAAGATATCTTTCTGGGTCTTTTCTGACATGATGAAATTACTTGTTTGCGTTCAGGTAAAAAGGTCGGAATCGGATTAGATTTTCTGAATGGTTCTAAAACGCTGACTTTGCTACGTTCAATCGGGTATCCAAACTATAGGAGGGGGTCAAGGTTGTCTCTGAAGATTCGTCTGTTTGAATGTGTTGATGATTCTCAAACTGTAAATACTGTAACATTTGGATACACACGTTCGTGTTTTCCTTCGAGAGATACACGTGCTTAGTGATATGTGATTATCGGTTCGAATATCTACTCGAAGGAGTAAAGAAATGACTAGATGGCAACCTGGATTTTGCAATTAGGAATGGGTACGCGAGAGGCGAATGGGGGCAAGGGCGGGGATGGGGTTTGAAATGTAGATTTTAATTGAATTGAGATGGATTCCCTTCAAACGTGGTGTAGCCAGATTTCGATGTCAAACTTAATATGATTGTAGAGACGACTAAGTCGGCGGGGAAACCAGTCAGGGAGATATACGCGTATAGTGAAGCATCCGAACATATCGGAGTCAGGATCAGTGATTGGGATACGCCAGAACAGCGTTGAATCATTCGAATTGAAAACGGTATTCACCGAATAAAAAAGTACTCGAGATTTATTATTACGTGATACTATCGCTGCGCACGAAACATTTTTTATTGCGCGGCTAATTTGATTCCAATACCATGAGAAAGTAAATGGAACTTGATCAATCATCCAACTTGTGTACCACAAGTATAGTACACAGATGCGAGCTAGATGTCGGTTTATTGGCATCGGATTTCTAGCTGTTGCGAGAAAACTGTCATCCCTGTTGGTGACACGACAAAGCGGCCAAAAAACGATTAAATTCCACAATTTCGAAACTACAAAAAGGAACCTCCTTGTTGTCACTTCAATCCTCACACCATAACTTCCCAGTCAAAGACACCTTGTTGTCTGAGTCAGCGAAAAAGTAGTGTCACGGACATCCTCACAACGATCCAAGCTTCAAAAGCCAGGCTCAAGGCTAGTGGTGGCTTTATTTTCCTTTCGCAGGGGCTCTCCACTTCTCTAGCGTCCGGGTCAAGACTTTCCACAGTGTAAGGTAAGGAATTACCATTCACCACCATTACCACAATTCACAACCAGTCACAACCAGTCACAACCAGTCACAACCAGTCACCATTCTGCTCACCGTTAAGCCTTTCTAGATGCCTCCACCCTTCCACCAAGCTACATCCAACCAGTTCATTTTGCCCAACGAACTCTTCTAGATTGTCCTTGAAGCTAAAGTCCGCGCCGAGCGAGCCTTTTCATATCAAACTGTTGAACGGGTGAGCAGAAAACGACATTCCTAGAACCCACGTTGTACAGCGTGCCGATTCCTAGCCAACTGCTCATCCCACTACATTCTTGCCTACGTTTCCAATGGAAACCTAACGCAACAACCTATTCCCTACACACGAATTACTTCTCAGCCGCTTCTCATGTGACTGGCTCGGCCAAGTGTGTTTCTTTTCAAAACTGTCACCAGCTGCGTATAGCCCATTTTTTTTTTTCACACTCAATCTAACCTACAGGCATCGCTCATCGTTGACTCTCACACCATATTCCAAGTATCTACGTTGAGATAACTAGTAGTTGGTGCCGGTATTAAAGCATTTGGGATCTTTGAAACGGCAAGCGGACCTCTTTGAATACTTTCCGTTCTCTTTTTTCTTTGGTTGTTTCTAGTTTCCTTCTTGACAACGAACTAGAACTGAACAAACAGGACAAATAGATCTGTTCAGCTAGGACACAAATTCACTGGACAACAAACTCATAAGTTTACGAAATGCTAAGATTTGTGCAACACTCGCATGTGCTCAAGAGCAGGGTTTCAAACCAAATCGTTTCGGCCAGCGCAAGGTCGCCTTTCCATCATTCGCTGCGGCTGAATTCCGCCGTGGCGATGGAACGGACGCCTTCGCAGGAAGCAGCTGCTGTAGCAGCTGCTACCACTCCTCCTCAGACGGCAAAGGCTGTGGAAAAGGTACGTGCCATGCGCAGAAACATAAAGATAGACAAGCAGCTATCGGCCGCCCCAGACTCACCATGGTTCCACAAGGTTTGTGCTTTCGAAGACTGCGTAGCGCAGACACTGTATTTATCACAAACACCTCGCAGACGCAACAATAACAACAACGGGAACGCTGTTTCTCGACGCACACAGGCATCTCTCGGGGGTGGCAATACCAATCCACTTTTCTGGGACTCTATAGGCCGGGCTATGGGATTATACCGTGAACTTCTGGGAACTCCAGAGCTCAACAGCGATCGTGTTTCGAAACTAGTGCATTTGCTGCACAACGGATTGCGTGCTAACAGAAACCAGCTTACACGAATGAACAAAAAGCCCGATTATGACTCTCAGTCCTTCCACAAGGAAATGACTAACTACTTGTGCGAATCACTGCGCGAAATCTCTCAAGATGCTTTATCTGGCAAAGTTGAGCTCAATGAGTATGGTGCAATGCACTTGATCACCGCTTTCAAAGAGCTACTTCTACTGGAAGAAGCCGTGAGCATATGGCGCTCTGCTATCAACGGAAGCAATACCTATACTGCAAACATCTTCCTGAATCCCAGAGTGGTTGGAGTGGTACTACCAATTCTGTATGACAATGGAGTCACCTACTCAGAGATTCAGGATCTCTACGAAAAGTCTTCAGCCATGATTACTTATTTTCACCCGAACCTTTCTGTCGGTATGATTCGGGCATCTTTAAGTGCGGGCGAAAACGAAATGGCTCTTAACCTTTTCCAAAAATTATGCGAAGAATCCAGCGAAATGAAATATGGGTATTTGATAGAAACACACCTTTCTTTTATTGGGGAGTGTAAGGACCTCACTATTTCTCAAGCATTTTTCGACAAAGCACTCAACAATGAAATGCCTTACCGGATTGACCTTCAGGTATCCTACGTCAAGTCATTTTTGCGGAACATATGGTCTCAGACTAGAGACTTTCAGAAAGTTTATGACATCTGGTACAAATCATCTGTACACTACGGTCGTGACGTAAACCATGGGATTTCCTCGTCATTGAATGACACATTTTTTGATATCTTCTTTGAGAACTACTCTCAAGACAAGCTCACAGGATTACAACAGCTACAAGAGATAATCTCCACCTATAACGATATCAAACCCATTGACGAACCATTCTTCAACATTATTCTTGCCAAGTGTACTGTCTGGAAAGACCGTCAAATTATCGAGTCTATTGACAAAGCTTACGACCTTTACCAAACACCTCGAACCATTGTTGCCTACCGTATTCTGCTGAAGTCCATGGGATCTGTAGAAGCGACCAACCAAGAAATTTTCCAACGTTGGTGCAATTTGGTTTCCAAGTCGGATGAAATCGGCCAATCCTTCATTGCCAATGCCGACTGGGCGGCTTTGAGAGATGCCACTGTCACTTGGACCCAGAATAACGAATCCCAACCATCTCCAGAAGAGCTTTACGGTAGTGACGGGTTCGGTGCTGCCATGCAAGCAGCTAACGCCTCTGGCGCTTTTGACGATATTCCACAACAAACATCACCACATACCCAACAACAGCAAGAGCTGGAAAGCCGCTTAGATCTTTACATGAAAATTGTCAAACGTTACAGCATCTTTTGCCGTGATTCTCGGCAACTTTCTCGCTTGACATCGGGCACGGCTGTGAAATACCCGGTGTTGCAGCAAGCACTACCAAAATTCAACAATTTGAATGTCAACGACGTCTATATTCCTCAATTTCACAACTTGAGATCTCAAAACTGAGGCGCAGGTTGTTGCTACCAACTAGGAAGGCCAATGCTTTTCAACTTGGTCCCGTTATGATCTTTATATACCTTGATGTATGATACTACAATATGAACTTATTCCATGTCATGATAACAGTGAACTCTGCTTTGTTTTTCGAGAATATAGTGGTAACGTTGTCTTGCATGTCAACACACTTTCATTCAGTCAATAAGAAGCTACTAAAGATGGCTTATCGCTGAAAATTACTAAGTAGACAAACAGCTTGTCTTTGCAGGCTTCTACAACTAACTATGGGATCTTGTGCCAGTAAACAACCATCTACAGATGTATCTAATTTTGATAAACCTCCGTCAACACAACCAACCCGTAAAACTCAGAAAACTCGAGTTCCTCAGCCGAAAACCTCATTAACACAGAAGGTGAGCCTAAAAACAGAAAAGCCTGGAGTGGGGAAAACGCTAGGGACATTGGGTGATGATAACAAGGAAAGATCTGCTAGAAGTGCTGCTGGTATAGCTGCGACAGAAAGACTTGAGAAATCACAGAAACATTTGAAGAATGGAGATTTAGGCAAGAAGCTGATTCAAGAACGTTCCAAGACGATGAATACACATTTGAAGGATAACGCAGAAAGCCGAAGGAGAGAAAGAGAGAAACCTTTGACATACGATTAGAAAGCTTTACATACGAAAACGACGTTATAGGAAACCAATCCTTAAGAGACGGACCAAGACAAAACAATGCAGCGCTCAAGTCACAGTCCTTCATCGCATACACTAAAACTTGGTGTTTCTACTTTCTTGAGCACTCACTTTTTTGACACCTTCTCTGACTTTTTCCTCCAGCAATTCAATGGCCAGCCTTACGTCTTTCTCATCTTGTCCCTCAATTAAGAGATGCAGTTTAGGTTCGTCTTGTGCAGATGCCGGTACTGCTCCTTCCGGATAGAATTTGCCTCTGTTGGTGATGCTGCAGGCCGTTTCGTGAATCACGAATGAAAGCGTTGTGTTCTTAGTTGCTTCCCATCTGACCATTTGCGGCAGATCATTTACATAAACTTGCGCACTATACGCAACTTGCCCATTCGAGTTTTTGTTTTGCATGAATTGATAATCCAGCTTGGGGATTGAGACGAGGTTTGCATGTAAATCGCTGCCCTCAGTACCCTCACTACCGTCCGATTTCTTGTGATCCGCCACACCGTAACTCTTAAGCTCTGTATCCTGTTTCTCGTCATTGAGCTTTTCCATATGCTCGAGACCTTTCCCTCCAAAGCCTTTCGCTAGTCTGTACTTTCCAATCTTCATACCAGACTCGAACTGACCTGCCATTTTTTGGAGACGTTCCCGGCTTTCATCTGGCATGGATTCCAACTCTTTATCCCGAAATGATTTATTGAGGATATACGCTGCTGGGAGCTCATCATCCAGCAGAAGAGTTACCGCGACACCATGCTTATCACCTCTCGCGGTTCTTCCCGTGGTATGAACATATTGTGCAAATGTCTTCACCGCGTTATAAACTATTACCAATGAAACCTCCGGAACATTGAGCCCGCGGGATAGTACCTCAGTACAAAGGAGGACACTATTCCTAGTAGACTTGAACTTTTCAAGGTTGGAAGCTCTTTCGTTATAAGGTTTTCCGGCATGGATGGCAAATGGTGAGAAATTTTTATCAACAAGACGATTGTAAAGCAAGTCACATATCTGCTGGCTTGAAGCAAATACAATTGTCTTTTCGTCGCGATCCCCGTCCTGTTCAGAATCGAATTCTGGATTGAGAAGAGACAAAAGTGCTTCGAACTTTCTTTGATCAGAATTGAAGATCTGCACGCGTTGTTCAATATTTTCGTTTACTAGACTCTTTGAGTTAATAGTTATACTGATTGGCCTGTACAGTATTCTTGATGCAAATGATTTGAGTTTCGTCGGGAAAGTTGCGCTGAATAAGACACATTGCTTGTCAGGTCGAACTGTTTTCATGATTTCCGTTATCTGTGGTTCAAATCCGAGATCGAATAATCTGTCTGCTTCATCCATAATCACAAATGTTACACGTTTCGTGTTTATGAGTTTTCCCGAGTTTAGTGTCAGAAGATCTATGAATCTCCCAGGCGTAGCAACGACAATCTCCACACCTCTTTTGATATCATTGATCTGACTTTTGAGTTCCGATCCTCCTGTACAACATATCGTTCGGATCTTGGGACTTTTTTTAGTGAATTTGCAAGCTTCTTCAAATATTTGCATTGCCAGCTCTCTAGTGGGTGCCAGTATCAGTCCCAGAGGCCCAGTCTCTTCCCTTGAAAGAGGGCGCAAAGATTTGATTTGACGTAAAAGTGGAAGAAGAAAGGAAATTGTTTTCCCAGATCCCGTTCTCGATATACCTATGACATCGCGTCCAGACATTATTGCAGGAATGGCTTGAGCCTGGATAGGCGTGGGGGAAAGAAATTTGAATTCATGTGTAATGAGGTTCATGATATCCGTGGAAAGGCCCAGATGGGACCATTTTGTGATTGGTCGCGGACAGGCTTGACCTTTGATGCTCACATTGTCAAGACTTAATCTAAGATCGGAGACTTCTACATCTGTCATTGTCCTGATCTCTTCCGGCTCCACGTAGAACGACTTTGTGAACGGTTCGAATGTGGTGCCGCCAACGGAAATTTTCCTCACTCGTTTCTTTGACTTCAGCTTTTTCATGCGTTTATATTCGGTTTCCACCTCATCGTGCTCCTGTGTTTCACCAAAACGCTCTGGTTCCTCGTTCACATCACCTAGATCGTCGTCTAGTATACCTGAGCTGCGGGGCCTGGAGCTGTTGATATCTTGAGTTTGGATTAAACTTTGCAGAAATGATTCCAAAGGGTCTTGTGCGACGTTCTTGTCCTCTACAGATCCAGGTTCTGATTTTATGTCCTTAGTATAACCAGAATCATCCGTATTTCCTGGTTTGAAAAGCTTCACGTCATTTGTACTTCCTTCGTCGTCGCTATCATCAAAAAAACGTTTCTTGTCCAAAAACTTCTTAACTTTCTTGTTTGCCAATGGACCATTTCCTTCAGCATCACGATTTTCGTCATCTCTTGGCTCTTTTTGTTGTAACTCTCGCTTCTGACGCCACTTGTCCAGTTTTGCTTTGCGTTCCGCTAGCCTCGAACTTAGATCATTTGCGCTGTCTTTGTTTGCATAGCTATTGTTCTCGTTAGTCTTTTGCTGTTCCTTCAAAGCGTCAACCTCCGCTTTCTTCTTGGTCCACTTCTTCTTTCTTTCAAGCAGCTGTCGCTTCTTCTCTTCAGCACTTACAGTACTCATTTCAGTTTCCCTCACGTAAGTAGTCTTGGTCGGTCCCTTGTGGCTGGATTTTGTAGATTATGTTAGAAAAGAGAGTAGTTCGGATTTCAGAGTAGCACTTCTAAAACTTCACCAACTCTTATTAAATCAAGATCAAGATCGTAAGTCAACAAACATCTGATCAAGATGAGTCTGAGACCGGAAAGACCGGTATGGATGAGCCAAGAACAATATGACCGACAATATGGAACTCCGGTTGAAGAAACTGTGAAAAAAGCCAGTGTGAAAGGGCCAGAAGATGGTTTAGTTCAAGCAAATCCAGTTTTAGAAGAGTCCACCGCCGGTGAAGTTGCAGAAGAGGGGACGGGCTTACAAGAACCGGAAAAGCCTGCCTACCGTTTGCAAAAGCGTAAACGGCAGCGTTATGATGTTGACGAAAAGCGCAAGAAAAGTCAACTCAACAGAATGAGAGAAGAACAAGTTAAAAGACACGAAATCGATATGACGGCAAACAAAGTTGTCAACGTTGATCAGATCATTCGTGAGCATTATAATGAAAGAACTTTTGTGGCAAGACGAAAACGCAGAAATTTGTCTCCAATCATCAAGCTGAGGAACTTCAACAATGCCATCAAATATATGCTGATCGATAAATTCACTTTCCCCGGAAATGTGGTCCTGGAATTGGGATGTGGGAAAGGCGGAGATCTGAGGAAATATGGCGCTGCTGGGATTTCCCAGTTTATTGGGGTCGATATCTCCAATGCATCCATTGTAGAAGCTCAGAAACGTTTCTCGTCAATGGGCAACCTAGACTTTCAAGTGATTCTGACAACAGGGGACTGCTTTGGTGAGTCTCTAGGAACAGCAGTCGCACCATTTCCAGAATGTAGGTTTCCCTGTGATGTCGTTTCGGCACAATTTTGTCTGCATTATGCATTTGAGTCGGAGGAAAAGGCAAGGCGTACGCTCTTGAACGTAACAAAATCTCTCAAAATCGGTGGGTACTTTTTCGGAACCATCCCGGATTCAGAGTTCATCCGCTTCAAACTGAACAAGATCGGCAAAGATGTAGAGAAGCCATCCTGGGGCAATCCTATCTACAAGGTGACTTTTGAAAACAACGATTACCAGAAAAATGGGAACGAGTTCTCTCCTCCATTTGGGCAAATGTACACCTACTGGCTTGAGGATGCCATTGACAACGTCCCCGAGTATGTGATTCCTTTCGAGTCGCTGAGAAGTTTAGCTGACGAATATGGCCTCGAACTTGAGCTACAGATGCCCTTCAATGCTTTCTTTGTTCAAGAAATTCCTAAGTGGCTGAATAAGTTTTCACCACGCATGCTCGAAGGACTGCAACGCAGTGACGGAAAATTAGGCGTCGAGGGTGACGAAAAAGAGGCCGCGTCATACTTCTACACTGTGTTTGCTTTCAGAAAGGTCAAATAAAATTACTTTTACAAACTAGCGTCTCTATTCTACAGAGCAGTGGTTACAGTTGTAGATTTCGAGTTGATCAACATTGTAGGTGGTAAATCGGCCAGCCATACATTAAGGTTCTCGATGTATTCAAGGCTTCCTTCCTCACTTTTGTGGGTGTCCAAAGGTGGCAGTGGCAAGGTTGAAAATATAAGGTCTGACTTACCTGAGACCTGAATCATAACGTCATTTAATATCAAATGTTGGGCTCTGCTAGGAACGTCATTGAACGTGATCTTTTTGAGATCGGCTAGCAGACTCTCCGAAGACTGGCAGGGAGAGAGAGGTGGGAGAACTTTTTTTCTACCACCTTCATGAGTGGGTGAGTTGGTGTCACTGTTCTCGACGACAGGGATCAGCGAGGGTTTGTCCCCGCTTGCATCCTCGATCACTTTGGTTTTCGGTAGTGCATCGCTGGAGAAAACTGGCATAAAAGATCGAACCGACCGGTCGTCTGAAGCCTTCGAATTTTTCAAACGAGTTGGTTTCGTCTCATTTCCCGTGGAAGGGGCTGATAAGTACTGTTTAATCCTGTCAATCTTACTTCTTTTGAGGAGGTTAGGACCGTCACCAGTGTAATCCACACTTAGGTCTGTCTCAGTTCCTTCATCATCTGAGCCATCGGGAAAATTGAATTGGCTGTTAAGGAAGCTCGATTTCATAGACATTGAGACGCCCAGCCTTTGCAATTGAGAGACGTCATATCGTGGCACACTTTTTCCAGGTTCATTTCTGGGTTCATTAGCCAGAGTGGCCATCGTACTGAATCTTCTTCGAGTTTTATGCGTCCCTCTCGCTTCTTTGAGCTCGGCCCACCATGGGTCATCTTTTAAACGTTCAGACACCTCTCTCATTTTGATAGCATCGCCTTTTATTATGGTATTGTAAACGCGGAATTGATCGAGCGACACGACAACAATCTCTGCATCAATTCTTAGGATATTGAGCAGGTTACTTATCCTCTGATTCTCATCGTTTTTCTCAAATTCATTTTCGATGAAGACTATCACTCTCAGACGGTGAGTCTTTTTCCAGGATGGGACAGTGACCAAAATCGCACCGAGCTGCAAAATTAAAGTGTATGTGTCGAAGTTGGTGGCTGTAACACTTTGAGATGTATCTTCTTCAATCTCAACTCTTGCGGACATTTGGATAGGGTAAAGGTCGATGAATCTCTTTTTCTTGACATGGTCTTTTTTGCCAGGCAACTTCAAGTCTTTGAACTTTTTCGCAACGGCAATGTTACTGTTCATTAGTGACAGATCTTCAATAATCTGCACCCATTGTTGAACCTTGATCTTTCGCTCATTCTTACAGACGTCGGTTGGTAGCAATTCCGGAGTATCCGGTATATCCACGGCCAAACTACCATTCTTTTGACGACTTGCTGGCAGACCAGAAAATGTTTTCGGAGATGCCTTTTTTCTAAGTGAAGGACCCTCACCCGTCCGCTTTTCTTTATAGTAGTTTTCCAAATCGAAGAAGCCGATCACCGTTATGTTTGGCCTCATTCCCCCTAATCCGGAACCAAGAAAAACGTTTCTTACACCCCAAGGAAGAGAAGGACCGGTACCTACCTGAACAAAAGCCTTGATGTTCGCCATATCCCTTATTTTCACCCACGCTCGTGTTTGTTTCCTCATCTCTTCGTATTCGTGTTGAAAACTTTCACCTACTGTTACATGTCCAAGCACGTAAAGACCACCTTTCTTGAGATTGTTGCAGAATTTGATCAAACTCCAACTCGTCCGAGGATTATCTACTAGCAACAGAATTTGAGGCCGCCAATATTTCACGTTGTCTTGTCTCAAGCGCAACAAATATTTGCGAACCTGATGATAAATGATGTTTTGAGAGACATCGCCCCAGGGTTTGGGTGCGGAGAAGAGATGTATCACGACGAAAACGACTGAAATCGCCAGAATGACTAGTGACGCAGAAATCACATCAACTATTAGCATTGCAATTATTGACAAAGTTCCTCCAATGCATGCAGTATACCAATCAAAGTACCTGAAAGACGGTCTGAAGTTTGGAGCAGACGAAATTTCGAGAAGGAAGCAGGCTAGGTTCATAACGACAAAGGTAGTCAAAAATGTCATGGTAATAAAGGTTGCGATTTGGTTCACATCGGAGAAAAGACATAGCTGAGTCAGTAGCCACGTAAACAGAATCGACCATATTGGATGCTTTTCAAAAATAGAGATACCAGGAAAAATGCAGTCTTTGGCTATCGCTTCAAGCACAAATGCAGCACCTACAATACCGACAATAATTGAAAATATGGATGTTGACAGCTCGCCAATCAAAATGACAACTTGATGTGAACTGATTGTTTGAATGATTTGAACATCTCTGTGTAAGGACTCGCGTGGAACGCACACACCTATTGTGAAAATTACAATCAAATAACAAAGAAAAGTTAACATGAGTCCCCACAATGTTCCCTTCGGTATAGATCTGGATGGCTTCCTCAATTCGCTGCTCATGCCAGCACCTGCAAAAATACCAGCCGTAGCTGGAAAAAAAATCCCAAAAAGATCGTTGAACGTTTCTTTACCCTTCAAAAGCGATCCAGCGGCTCGTTTTGTAAATTGCGGATACAAATTGTCTTTTAAAGTTTGCAATGACGGTCCTGTGTACAGGATCTGACCATCGTTGAATGGCGACACGAAGAGAGCAGACACGGGAATCGACAAAGTCGAGAAAAGTAGAAGCCAAAATAGTACTTTTCCCGCTTTGGAGACGGTAGCAGAACCCACCAGGGCAATTCCCAAGCAAAAGAGAAGTATGACAGAAGCATATGAGAACTCCCACCAGTAACCGCGATTTAGCAATGGGTACATAGCCGGAGTTTCCTGGTCGATTTTGGAGCCAAAGTTGTACATCAAGGGCTCTATTAGACCTACCACATTCATACCACTATTCAGCATTTGACCCAAAAAGAAGATGAGCCCGATGGAACCACCAAATTCGGGGCCCAAACTCCGGGATATCATGTAGTAAGCACCTCCGCCACGAACGGTACCATTCGTTGAAATTGCAGAAATACTCAATGTAGTCAAAAGGTTTATTCCATAACTTATAACCAATAGAAGTACGGTCCCCAAGACTCCCATCTGTCCAATGATGAATCCAAATCTCAAAAACATCAAAATCGACAGTACATTTAACGTTGTCGGTACAAAAACTCCATCAAAAGTTCCAAGCTTACCCTTGTTGGGATTCTCCGGGTCTAGTTTCGAAGAGACTCTTGGCATTCTTTCGATAGCACCATAGTCGAAATAAGTGAGACTAGCTCGACGATTTTCTTCGATTGCTATTGGAACAGTTTCTTGTGCATTAGGCGGTTTGTGGGAACCCGGAAGTTCGTAAAAGTTCGACATGCGTTTTCTGAACAGATGCTATCGCTGCCAGCAGTCTAGCCTTGAGTTTTTACCTTTCGCTTCTGTAAGTTTCTCGACCCCGAAGTTTGCTGAAAAAGTCTGAAAGCTTCCTTAACTCTAAGTCACAGTTGTTGTTTAGTACGCTCAAAATGAACCCACTGAATAACCGGATATGTTTCTCACTTCAGAAGCCCTGGCCTGCTATTGACGAGTGTCCCGCTCCTTGCTTTGAGCTAGCTTTTATACCTCTTCGATTGAAGCTAGATCAGTTGCTTCAATTTATGGACAATTATATGCTAATAAATCTCGACATAATCGATGGCTGTTCTGAATAAACTTAACAGGAACAAAAGACCTGGTTTATCATGGCTGCTGAGCGCCGTCAAAAGGTCTGGGAGATCAATGGAGGAGACAAGGTGTCTTTGCCGATTGTAAAATTTCCGCCTTTCAAATTGAGAGCAGCAATGGTCGAGAAAGATCCGGTAATATGGTTACACCTTATAGAAACCTACAATCAGTACTTCTCTTATTTGATGTCTAACGGAAGGCTAGAGCAGTTGAATGAATCCACTTATGAGAACCTGTGTTTGTTTGTGCGACAGTATCTGCGAGAGCTGTCCGACGAAGAGGGGAAGCTTCTGAGTCTTGGGATGAACAGAGATGTTGAAGAACAATTGCAGTTGTTAAGAAGATGGGTGTTTTCGGTAGTCAAAGTATGTGGGTTACTTCATTTACAACTCTCTGGTGACACTCTGTGGGATTTTGTGAAGCTGTATGTAAGAAATAACCCGAAAACTGTGCGCTCGTTGGTGCAAGGAACGCTGAAACCTGAGATAAATACACAGAAGGCACATCTCAATAGGACTTATCAGGTTCACCAGCATTTGAAGCAGCTTGTGGATAGCTCGAAGTTCACAAGAGTGGATCTAAAAGCGCTACAAAGCCTGTTATCAGATACTGGAGGCAAACGAGCGAACTCATTCGCAGATCAGTTTCTCACCGCCAAGTGGGCTGAAATCATGGAGGCCTGGTTCAAGCAAGATGCTAATAAAAGTACAAAAGCTATTTCTCGAGAGCTAGGAATCTTGACGTACATGTGTGCTGGCGAAAATCGAGTAATTGGAGTAGTATCGGAGCTTAACATTACCACTTTAGAAATGCTTCAGCTTTATCCTTTACTAGCATCGGTTTTAATGCATACTTCATCAAGAGCGCACTTCAAGGGCCTTAAGGCAAAGTTACCGTTTTTGAGACCATTACTAGCGAATAGTAAAAAACAGAATTTACCCACCATCAGGTCTGAAGATGTTAGCACCATCTTAGAGCTTTTCCCCTTTTTGACTACAGGTCAAGTTGAAAAAAGGCTCCAGGCGAATGACTGCAATGTCGAGGCGGCCATTGAAAGTTTATTCGAAAATCCATTAGAATCCCAAGAAGATGTGACTTACGAAGAACCTGTGTCGGAACCGGTACAAGGTTTGAAAACTACAGAATTTCAAAGTGAGCTCACCCAAAATGATAAAATTTCAAATGAATACGTTCCGACGGAACACGTACCCGACGAAGTGCGTAACAAGACCCTTACAAGAGCTCTGGCTCTTCTTTATCAGGCCGACGAAGATGAAAAAGATGACACTTACGATGATGCGGAAGCTCAACCTGTTCGAGACGAGAGTAAAGATGGTTTAGAGAGCTCATACGATAAAACCGAAGGGTATCTGTGGACAATTTTCAAGGAAAAAAGATCGCTCTTTGATAGGTCAAATAGAGGGTCGAAGATTAGAAAGGAAATGAAGTCTGCAACCTCCTGGTCGGACGAGCAAGTTGAAGGCTGGGCGCGAATGTTAGAGCGGAGTCCCAAAAGAGCTCAGCTTCTTGAAGAAAAGTATATGTTCAGAGGAAACGTTCGGGCTGGCAAAAAAGCATTCGTGCAAAGTAAAAACGGTGGTGAATATGATAGAAATGCGGGGCGCGCTCCACGAGAAGAGCAGCGAACACAACATAGGAGAACGCCTGCTAATGGCAGTGGCGACAAGAGTCAATCCAACGTCAGGAAGGAAAAGAACAAATCGTCTAGGGCTAATCACAATAGGAAATCGGGACATGATAAAAAAATGTCCAAAGTAATGCCTTAGTTATACTGTCTATTAATTTCTACCCTACGTGTTTATAATAGCATCAACAAACGTTAAGTCTGTTCAGTTAGTTTTCGTTTTTTTGGTTTTACCCTCTAATGTGGTCCAAATCTTCTCGTCCTCAAGAGCTTCTGCTTCGACGTCCCGATTTTTGGCCTTTCTCTTTTTCTCGGAGCCCTCTGGCTGCGGTACTTCAACTTCTTTATCGTCTATGAGTAAGACAGCGCTTGCTTTTGCTCCCAAATAAACTTTAGATAGCAAAGCTCGGGATGCGACGTCGAAAATTCTGGCATACCTATCTAGGCCACACTGCAGTAAATAGTGCTTCTCGACAACGCCCACAAACGTAGTTGCACCCGTAATATCTCCCGCTCCGAATTTTCCTATTGTTCTGGGTGATGTGTCAAATGCAAAGACATTCTTCTTTGAATCGGTGATTACTACCTCCAGGTCATTGAAGTTTGCAGATTTAACATTACATGAAGGCGTTAGATCTGTGTTCAACACCTGAAGATTTGTCGCGACTTCATTCTTGGGTAGAATCGGGTGCGATGACTGTGGCTTGCGGCCTTTTTTGGTATCATACTCACGAAAGTGGCCGAGACGGTTCAATGCTAGAAAGTGGTAACTGTCCTCGTTGAGGCCAGTCCCGGACGCCGAGTCCAAAAACTTAACTTTTATTGGCCAAATAGGAACCTTCAAATCAAGTCTATCATTGGAGACATTTTTCGCTTGCCAGAAGTTTTCGAGCTTTTTGAAACTCGACGAAAGTTTGGCCAGTTTGATTAGATTTTCTTCACCACCGTATGCAAATGTTGTAGATTTTGTCTTGCTAGAAGCATCGACATCGTTATCGTGAACCTGAACAAACTCCAGAGGTCCCTGAACAGTGTGACTTTTAAAAATACGCAATTTGTCGTTGTGTAGGCTCAGAATGTGGATGTGGCCCGATTTTGAAGCGCACAAGATTTTATCAGAAACACCCGGTATCACTTGCAATGCTATAAACCCATCTTTAGGAGTTGATCTTTTCTTGGATTTTTTATGCAGTTCCACAAGAACAGAGTCATCCAAAAGACCCTGGACCGATGACACCACTTGCAAATCGATTATATCGAAATCTGGTCCAATCTCAATACTTTGATCCTCTTTCTGACGAGGACTGTAACCCAATTTCAAGAGCTGAACTGTCCCATTTGCTCTTGCCACTAGTAAGCTGTCATCAGATATTTTTTCCATTATTTCCACCCTGCTACCCAAGCCTTCTGCAAGATGCGTTCCTATGTGGAAAGGTTGAGGCGCCGTTTGCACCGAGGTATCTGTTTTACGGTTACATATCACCTCTTTTATGCTCCCGCTATCGTCACACGCCACAAGAAACCTCATCGATGAATAAAGTGTGGTTCAGCAGCCTTTTCTTACTCAATTGAACACTTTCTTTCCACTGTTCAAGAGCTGAGATGAGATGAGATGAGATGAGATGCCCAAGGCTCTTTCCAGCGCCAGTACAGGCCCTGGACTATATAAAATTTTACCAGTCACTGCGTACGGAGAGTCAGTGTTGAAGAAAGTGATATGAGCTGAATTCAATGTCCAGTCAAAGTAAGCTCCAATGATCCCGTTAGTGATGTTTGGTGTGGCATTCGTCTGATGCAAGAGAGATTTTTCGTTAGGAGGACCGTGTCATCGACTTCCCACGTAAGGAACCTAGATTTACAGAAAAATTACACCATTCTAATTTGAGTGAGCCAAACTGTCCCAGAGTTACAACCAGAGGGCATAATAATATTCTTTTGAATTGGTTTGGTTGGTTGACCTCGCTTGAAAGACCTTATCGGTAACCCAATTAGATATTCAGTCAACTGCTGTCGCTGTCTGAAGAAGCCAGAAAAAAACAAAACCTAGTGTCGCAAGAAACGGTAAAAAACCTCGAAACAAAATGAAAACCATGGTAAGCTCAAGGAAGGTACAACCACACCTCAGGAAATTTGTATCATGATGCGATTCATTTCACTGTCACACTGCCTTGTTGATCAATAAAAAAATCACGTGGGTCTTAACGTCACATTTAATTCGTCTCGCATGATCTCTTACCTTTCCTCCTATAATTAAGGAACCTTCCTATTCAACCTAACGGGAAACTCCATACATGTCAACCTGAGTTTCCCATTTTGCGACCTCACAAACGCTTCTTTCTCTTTGATAGTCAACATTGGTTGAGAGTCTCCTAATGTCTGACTCTGTTGTTCGCGATTTCAAGCTTGCCAAAGCGCCCGTTTATTCCCATTGTTTTTCTCAGGACCGATCGATTCTGGCAGTTACTTTGAACACGGATTGTTTGGTCTATAGGTTGGTGGCGCATGGGAAGCCACAATTGATTGCTACTTTAGCCGATCATGATAAAACTGTTACATCTGTGGATATCTCAATTCACGGACGCATCGTTACTTGTTCTCAGGATCGTAATGCCATCGTGTGGGAACCCTTGAGCGATGGCTCTTATAAGCCCACGCTTGTTTTGCTACGTATCAATAGGGCTGCGACCTGCGTGCAGTGGGCACCAAGTGGATACAAGTTTGCCGTAGGATCCTCTGCGAGAATTATCGCTATTTGTTATTACGAACAAGAAAACGATTGGTGGGTCTCAAAACATATCAAGAAACCAATTAAGTCAACCATTAATTGCCTGTCGTGGCACCCCAACGGAATAATGCTTGCCTGTGGAGGTACCGATGGCTACGTTCGGGCATTTTCGGGTTTCGTGAAGGGCCTAGATTCCAAAGAGCAAGTGGCCAATTCGCCTTGGGCGGACAAGTTCCCGTTTGGAGCCCTAATCCGTGAGTGGTATGATGGTGCCTGGATTCATGGAATTGCTTGGAGAGGCTCTCAAGAAAAGCTGGCTTTCGTGACTCACAGTGGTACTTTCAACGTTGTGGATCCATCGGACGAGATTTCTAGTGCAGAATATCCAGAGGGTCTGCCATTGACCTCTGTGGTATGGGTGAACGACCACGAAGCCGCTTGTGGTGGATATTCGTGCCACCCAATTTTGTTTTCAGAAGGTGCTCGTGGCTGGCAGTTCGCGAAAAACATCGACAAAAGTGTTGATACTCGTGCGCCTGTGGCTGCAAGCTTTAACGGCGAAGAGGAGCAAGATGAAAATCCGTCTTTTGGTATTTCGGCATTGCGAAAGTTCAAGGACTTGGATCTCAAGGGCAAAGTTTCGACACAAGTCAAAGAGAGTACCCACGAAAATGCCATTACTGAACTAGCGCCCTTTGCTGAAAATAGTGGAAATGTCACCGAAATATCTTCGTCTGGTCTTGACGGGAAAATTGTTGTCTATAGAGTTTAGAATTGAACGTTGAAGAAGAAAGTGCGCTTAAATGGAAACTAGATCACAACATATACATCTCATTGCGTATTTCCAGAATTTCCGGCAGCGTCCTGCGCTGCCTTTCTTTGTAGAACCAAGGAATATACGCTTCCTTTAAAAAGTGTCCCAACAAGTGCAATTTTATACTCTATTTCCCTGAGTTGCCGCAGTACCTGTTCAGGTGATTCTGATGATCCGTTATCTCTTAGATTCTTGATCGTGTCATCGAGATTGTGCAATGATTTTGAAAGTGTTTCGTATCGGTCCAAAACGCTTCGTTGCAGCGGCGTGAGATCCATTGGTAATTGTTTATTAGAATGCCAAGAGCAGGATGGATTGGATCAATCCGATCTGTTGCTTTGACCAGAACGTAAGGTTTGTTGATGAGATGAGCTTAGTAGCTAAACTACTGCTGTAATTAATATACAGTAAATAAAGAGAAGAGCACGTGATCGGCTACAGAATCGTGCTAGTATTGTCAGACGTTTGTTGTTAGGCACTTCTGAGTGATTTGAAGGCTGCATCAGTACTGTCTTAAACCCTCAGCAAAATTTTCTTTTATGTTCACAGTGAAATGAAAGGCTGCTCAGCGTAATAAGATCATTTCTTACCTAGTTACTCAGATCACGCTGCGTAGTGAGCGTGATTGGAATGATCAAGGATGACTCTGTAAACGCCATAATAACCTTGAATTTAATACGATTCTTACCTCTGGGGTGGTCTATTTTGATATTTTCAACTAGCGGCTGATTTCACCCCACTGGGTTTGAACAATTTTGAAAAGTTCAGATGTGCCAAGATGTTGTGGTCCATAATCTCGAGATAGTCATTCTCTCGATAGAAATGAGACTTCCAGATCTTTCAATGCCATAAGCACTTGAACTGTTTTTTGACATAGCGTACCCATTGGACGGCAAAGTCGAAAATGAGCTCGAACAAAAAACAACTTTTAAAAGCTCACAATCACATTCATGCCACCAGCACCTCCAGTGTTGTCAATTGGGTCGTCCCACCAAACCCTCCTCGAGATTCTGTGTAATAGGGTACGCATCAGACGCCAAACTTTCAAAAAATATACGGCCCCATACAGTTCAGCTGCTTAACACTTTCTTAACACACAAATCGTCATCGACAACCCTGCTACAGACAAGAAGTTTGGCAAAATGAAGAGCTTGAAAGACCTAAAGATTGACAAACTGTATCTAAAGGTTCAGTAACTGAACCCTTCCGTTTTATAGTTTCCGTGACTTTAATAATCACTCTTTACGAACGGTTTAATTGGCATCAAATCCAGATAGAGGATATACATACCCATATACATCAATGACTTCAAGCATCATCGAGACGGACAAAACTAGCGGTTCAAGAACCTTAAAATAGTTTATCTGCCGGATTTCGAAGGCTAGCTTAAAACTATGAGTAATTCGCAACAGTCTTATACTATTTGGTCGCCGCAGGACACGGTGAAGGACGTTGCAGACTCTCTTGGAATCTCTAATGCCAGCGATGATGTGTTGAGATCACTGGCGATGGACGTGGAATACCGGATTCTAGAGATTGTGGAACAGGCAGTGAAGTTCAAAAGACATGCAAAGAGAGAGGTCTTGACTACTGAGGATATCGCTCGTGCTCTTCGGGTACTGAATGTGGAGCCTCTTTACGGGTATCAAGACGGCTCGGCGAGATCCAAAGATGTGTCTTTCTCGAAAATTTCAGCACAAGGAGGCCAATCGCTGTTTTTCTTGAACGACGAGGAGGTGGACTTCGACAAGCTTATCAATGAACCGCTGCCTCAAGTGCCACGGTTGCCTACGTTCACCACGCATTGGCTGGCAATAGAAGGAGTTCAACCCACAATTCCGCAAAACCCAAGTCTCAACGACATTCGATTGTCACAGCCACCTATTGTACGTGGTGCTATTGTCACCACCGTCAATGATACCAGCTTGCAAACGTCGGCGTCCGAGGAAAAGGAGTCGCAGCACATATCTTCAATAAAGCCGGGTCAGGCCAACGAAGTCAAGCCTTTGGTTAAACACGTTCTTTCCAAAGAGTTACGAATCTATTTCGACAAAGTCGTGAGCGCCCTCACGGCTAAGGAAAATGATGACAAAGCACAACATTTAAGAGCCGCTGCCCTTACGTCTCTACGATCAGACACAGGTCTCCATCAGCTTGTTCCGTACTTTATTCAGTTTATTGCCGAACAAATAACTCATAATCTGTCTGATTTGGAGCTGCTCACAACTATGCTCGAGATGATATATTCCCTTCTCAGCAATGAACATATCTTCTTGGACCCCTACATTCATTCATTGATGCCTTCCATATTAACACTTCTTCTGGCGAAAAAACTTGGCGGGTCTCAACCTCTAAAAACTACAAAGGAGCAGGCTGAGGACTCACAATCAGAGTCTAAATCTTCTTTCGAAAATTTTCTTGACAAAACGAACGCTTTACGCGATTTTGCCGCTTCTCTTCTTCAGCACGTACTGAAGAAATTTCCCCAAGTCTACAAGTCTTTGAAGCCACGAGTGATGAGAACTCTGCTGAAAACTTTCCTCGACACGAACCGGTCCTTTGGAACTTATTACGGCTGCATAAGAGGCGTTGCCGTCCTTGGGCCAGAATCCGTGAGATTCTTTTTAGGTAATCTACAAAGTTGGGCGAATCTTGTGTTTGAAGAGCATATCTCTGACGGCGTTAAAGATGGCGAAACTGTCACGCGAAAATTCTCTGATTTAGAAAGCAAGCTCTTGTGTGACGTCATCATCAGTTCGCTTCTTGTGTTGAACGCTGACCTACCTAGTGGCAAGCAGTACGAGGGTGAATTGTCCGACGATGAGAAAGAAAAATTGAAAGAACGCTGTGGAACCACGATCTCATCACGTATAATTGAGAGATCTGACGCAAAGGAACTCGTAGCCGCCATCTTCTTTGGAGAGTAGCTAGTGATGATACATATGCGCGGCAAGTTTTGATGGAAACTTCAGTTAAGTTTCTATAAATTGGATATTACCTGGTGAAATACGTTAATCGGGAGCAAATAAACGTCTACGTACTTTTCTTTTTACAGGAGGCTGTGAAAATCCATGGTCTTCTGCCCCTCGAGTTAACGATTTTACGTTTGTTGATGGCACTTGTAAATGACTTTCTGAGACAGATTTTGAAGGCGTAACAACCGGGCAAATTCTCCTTGAAACCAAAACTATCTCTGAAGAGGCAGTCGCAATAGAACGCAGCGGTGACTCAATGATAGCAGGGTTCGACGTTCGAGCGGTGGGATCGGTTGCCTTCTTTCCAAAAGGAGTTGCTTCGACTTGGACGCTGGGAACCTTATGAGAGCTTGGTACTAGCCTACGCGGTTCCACTTTACGTCTTGTTGTTCTTTGAAAAGTGGTCGTCAAAGAAGTGCCTTTCAGCCTCGACGTTTCGTCAAGCAGCGCTAAGTCCGACTTACTTCGGTTGACGCCAAGATCACTTTCTAGCACTAAGTCACTGGCTGGCAGCTGACGTTTCTGCAGCTTATGAATAAAGACATCAGAGCTTCCTCGTGTTGCAGAAGCATACTTCTTAGCATTACCCGTCTCCATGTCAAGAATCTCACTCAGTTGTGAATCGCTTCGAAGATTTGGGAGAGGGACGCGACGAGGCAAAGACACCCTTTTGTAAAGTTTCGAAGACTGTCTTGACTTCTCTTTGTCATAAACTGAAGAGTCGGAAAATTCTTCACTAGAATCGAGCACCTGTACCTGCTCACTTGACTTGAATTTAGAAGCACCACTTTTGACCTGACTTTTATCATTCTTTGGTAAAGCTTCGAATTGCGGCCCTTTTATTTTTCGTGAAATAAACGCGACAGCATGTGGAACTTTCTTCATGAAGTATGGTATTAACACGTAGGTTATCAATCCGGCCACAGAATCCTCTTTCTCCGGATCTAGTAAATTCTTTTTCAATTCTCGAGTCGAGCTAAGGGCATCTCCCTCACTTTTTTTGGGAGAGTTCTTTTGAATAGAAGCGTCCGTCAACAACATAGCCTCCACGATGCATAATTTATCCACAAACACATCGAGCTTTTCGCAATAGTCAAGCTGCTGGGTATTGGTATGCATTGCGAGTTTCTTACGTGTCCGTCGACGAGAAGGTATTCGTGATGCTGCAAGTTTCTTGATTCTTGTTTTCAGTCTTCGCTCATACTTTTGCTCAAAATGGTCTAGTCCGGAATCTAATCCACTGAGTGAGATCAGCTCCAGTAAGAGAACGATTTGCAATTTGATCTCGCGTACCTTGAAAATCAAAACCAAATCTGTTATCACATCGGATACCCCCGACGTTATTAAATGCCCAAGTTTGTCCAAACTGTTGCTGCGAACTTCAGAGGCTATTCCGCAAGCAAAATCAACTTGCAGTAAACCTTCTTCCTGTCTTCGATCGAACTCTTCAATTTCCAATGCTAGTTCTGCGAGGTGCATTTGATAAGACACGCCATCCTTGTGGCCTGAACCTTGGCTCAAAAGATTTGTTCGCACTAAGTTTGATTTCACAAAATAGGCCAAAGGTACCCTTGGCGAAAATAGAGCCTCGTAATATTTCCTCCGGAGGTAATTTCCCGGATCAAGGAGTGGAGAGTTTTTATCCTTGTGGTACCTATATTTGATCGCCTTGCCGTTTCTCCTTGGTCTCATTCGAACTTCCCCCATCAGTTCAGAGCTTTCCTTTGTTTGCAAATGACGTTCTTCACCCCACAAACCCAAAAAATCGGGAAGTTTATACTCTAACCAATGGGAATAGCTGATGTAAGAAGGAGTTGTGCTCATCTTTCGAATTTCGAAGCCAGCAAATTCATTAGGCGGAGATGCAGGGGGCCCTCTCAATCTCCAAAGCACCCAATGCTGGTTGATGTAATTTTCCAAAACGTGCCACTGGCTTGGGCATCTATTCGGCAACCGGAATACGTGCTTCGAGGACTTCGGAGCTCGCGATAACGCTTCATGCAGTTCAGACGGGAATTCTGATTCTTCTATCAATATTGGCGCATTCGAATAGTCTATCAAAGACTCTGGGATGATAAGATGTGATCCCACGAAAGTCATACCATTTAAGTCATTAGACCCTATTTTAGATGAAAAATCCTCGGGCAGAAAACTTTTTTCGCTGTTCCCATCAAAATCCATCAACGTAAAGGGTTCATAGGCTTGATGAATGAGAGTGATCGACCTTTAACGGGTAAAAACTTCAACATTTAAAGTATCGTGAAGCATCTATCTTCTTCAGATCACTAAAGGAGATTACACCGAGTAGTGGTGATTCGTCCATAATTACTTTCTAGTGTCGATGAGTTTTTGGACGACCATAAGAATGGCGAGATGACTAGCCAGTGAAGCTAGAACTGGTAATTGAATCTCTCTGCTCATTCGATGCTTTGTTTCTTTTGTCTATCTCAATCTTGTTGTTTATCAGTAAAATTGCAGTTTGATTGGCCATGGGAGTCCCTCTAATTAGAATTTTCCGTTCAGTACAGCCATTTACGGGGTCATCAATTATGATTGAACAACCTGTGCTTTCTTTTATGGAATTGATGTTTTTTCCACCTTTGCCGATGACGTTTCCAACGTAGCTATCATCAATATAGACTTCGTGTTGAACCAAACTTAATCGTGGAGTCAAGTCTGGCATAATGGGTGCAGCACTGACAGTATCTGATAGCCTGACATGATCTACACTCATGACGGGCGTAAAGCTTGCAGAATGTGTGTGGGCGACCGGTGCGTAACCATACGGAAATTCAGGATGGCCAGAATCGGGCGCAATACGGTGAAAGCGTTTTTTTCCGTTCTCGCTGGGTCTATATTGATGCTGCTGCTGGGGCTGCATGCTGACGCCATACTCATTGACAATCACGGAGTGTAGTGTGCTTGGTAAATAAAAAATGCACTTTTTCGCAGCAAACGATGACTTGTGATTCAGAATCGTTTGACTGACGTAGTAAGTGGCGATGTGAATTGCGTCGGCCACGCCTGTGATGCAAAGAATTCTATCGTTGGACATTGGCAAGGTCTGGGGACCTGCCATCAGTTTTGCAGCGCTTAATTCCTCTATTTCTCGCAGTCGAGAACCTTGACGTCCAATGACACATCCCATCATATGATGCGGCACCAGGATATTTAGTGTCAGCGGTGTTGAAACTTGGGTTGATTCGCCTGCTTTTTCGCCGTTTATGGCCCGCACTATGAGCCCAAAGACTTTGGCCACATCCTCACATCTGCCCCTAATGAAAATGACCCTTTCGGGCACTCCACGGATATTGTCTGACACATTGATTCGCGTGTTGGTTTCTGCCTTCATTTTTGAGATTTTTTCTCCACCTGGCCCAACTATCATCGAGGCTTGTTTTACTAAACATAGCATACGCAGATGAATGTAATCCTTGATATCTGAATCTTGATCATTTTCTAATGTTGTATTCGAGGCACGATGTTGAGCCTGTGGCGGATCAGGCAGCTGAGTTTTCTCTACCTGTTGTTGCTGAAGCTGGTGTATTATTTCTTCTTTATCTGTCTGTTGATCTACTACCAAGTTGTCCCTGTCCACAGCGTTCTCCTCCCTTCGTTCGCCATTCTGGTCTTTTTTGTCCTCACCATCATCATTGAGTGCTACCCGTTTGATTTCAGCCTCCAGAAGCTCCTCAGCGCAGTCCTCCTTCTTACGTTTCAGGACATTTGACGACTGCCCTAAATCTTCAAATTCCTCACCGGCACTGACAACCATTGTAAGCCGTTTTATACAAAACTCAAAATCCTTACCAAACTGAAAACCGGAAACCTCGATACTAACGTACCCGTCCAATTCCGAGGTGTGATTGCTCAAAAACTCTGAGGTTTCTTGTTGTTTAATGTTAAAATAAGAACAGTTCTACATATTTGAGAAATTATACGTCAAGTATTTACAGACTCTCGTCTTGACCAAAAAAGTACCAAACGTTGAAGGTAGTAACATCATGGCCTCTAAACAAGACTATCAAGAGACCTTAGGGGCAGCAGAAGATATAGCAGATGAGGAATCGTACAATGAGGAAGAAGACGAGGATTTTGACCCTTCAAAAGAGGTGGAAAAGCGCGTCGATGAGGACGATGACGAAGATGACGAAGACAACGAGGACAACGAATACAATGAAAAGAGACCAGATTACTCGCATATTGAAAGCGGACAAGGTGGGTTGGTACGTACAAGACGTGGCAGGATACTGGAGGAGCAACAGATGCGGGAAAACAAGTATGAAGAGCTGCGAGAAACTGGCATTTCGCAGCAGACAATCAGTGCGTGGGATGAGCTTCAAACACAAAGCAACCAAAGACTCCGCAAGAGTATTTCTGTTATGAGCGAGGAAGCCGCAAACGAGTCCCAAAATGGTCTTCAGGAAGAACTGGTGCTCATAGATCGCAGATACGAATTCGCTGGCGAAATCCTGCACGAAAAGAAAATGATTCCCAAAAACAGCGCAGAAGCTCAGGAATATTTTAACAACTTGCGTTTCAAAAAGACTCAAACCGGGCCCGATTCTGCTGCTGCTAGTTCAACGACCAAAGTTGCAATTAACGACCGAGGTTTGAAACTCAGAAGAGTTCTTAAGAGACCTCCCATATTGGAACAAATAATAGCAGGAGCTCTTAAACCAAAACTCACAACTTTGGAAAAATCGAGGCTGGACTGGGCCACTTATGTCGACAAAGAGGGCATCAACGATGAGCTATCTTTGCACAACAAAGATGGATACTTGGAAAAGCAAGATTTTTTGAATCGTGTAGAATCGTTCAAAGATGCGAGATATCAGCAAATGCGTAAGACAGAACTGCAACAAAGACTAGCGGGTACCTAAAGTAAAAGAAATTGATTTACGTGTTTTTGAACGAGTCTAGTGTGCTCCTCATCTATAAGTGTGGTACGTTGTATCCCGCAAATATCATATTGAAAATGCTGCAGATACCCTCTCCGAGTACGAGGCCAGAGCTGAACACAATCATAGAGGTCTTTGCAGACGTGTCCCCACGATGAGTCCGCAGCCAAATATGTGCAAAACAACCTCCTATGAACCTTGCAAGGGTGAAGCTTGGTGCATTGTAGATACCAACACCTACTGCCACACCAGACGGGATCCAAATTAGCCATTTGTACCCTTTGTCGCGATACAAGTTTTTAATCAGTGACAAAATGCCAAAAATGGTTCCCAATACAATTGTACATTCAAGAGCTTTATCCGGAAGGCCCTCACCTGTCACTAGTCGCGCACAGTCGATCCATATTACTGCTGTTGGGACTCGAAATTGTGTGCTAGGAATTTCGTAGATGCGATTGTAAAGGAGATACATCACGCTGGAAAGAACAATAGACCATGATGCCCCAATAAGTTGAGCAAAAAATTGCGCCCTTGGAGACGCACCTAATAGATGTCCCGTTTTCAAATCTTGCATCAAATCCCCAGCCTGCTGAGCGCCAGCCTCGGCTATCCCGCCAGCAACAAGGTTCAAAAGTACTCCACCTTTCATTGTACGAGGTGTAATCATGGCAAAAACCAATTGAGACAACTTCCCTATCCCACTAACAGGGTTCAAGTCCGTTTCACCCAGCGCTCTCACTGCAAGCACCGACAAGAAAAGTGCTAATATAAGCGCAACAAAGACAGATGACAGCGGGACAATCTTGGTTCCGAAAAGATAGGTGATGCAAACAACACATATAATCGAAGACACGATAAGACCGCTGATAACTGTAGTTAATTTCACCAACTGCCTGGAGTCTACTTCATGCTCCTGGTCCGAGCTAACAAGTTTCACGGTGCTGCGCCGGCGGCCCGCGCTACAGCTTTCTCTGTTAATGATCCTCTCTTCCTCTAACAACATAGATTGTAAAGAGTCGTCGATCATAGATTCCAGCGCTATCCTTTTGTCATCACGAAGGCAAAATCTAAGAACTGACTTTGTAGTGAACACAATAAACCCAACGACTGAGTCTACCACCATCACCGCCAAAGATGACCATAGAATCCAGCCCTGAACACCTTTTTCCCAATCATTTATGTCTGCATCAGGATCCACCCATCCTTTGTAGCGGGCTAGTGGTGCAAGCACGCCCCAACCTAATATACAACCTAAGAGCATGTAAACGACAGTTGACAACCCCATAATAATACCTTGACCAATATACGCGGGAGATGGCTGCAAGTTCCATAGGTAGCTTTGCGAAAGCCGGTTTCCAAATATAGGAATGGCTTTTATCGCGGGCAGGAAGTAAGACAAGATGGTATACAGGGACGATACAGCAAAGGTCTTGACCAAAATGGCAATGTTTTTCTCGTATGTGGACTTGGCATCAGTAGCAGCCGGCGGAATATCTGGAGTAGATCCATAATAGTTCCCGCGATTAGGTTCTTCCGATTCGCTGCGGATTGGTTCCTCTTCGTCTACTGCTGAGTTTCGCTGATTATCTTCTTCCAACATGTTGTATCCATCACTACTAGAAAGAACCTCGCTATATTCTCGCAATCTTCTTTCCCGCAGTTCTTTTAGTTCCAGAGGCGAAATCTCCTGCAGGATCTCAGAACCGTTTAGAATGGCGATCAAAGTAGCGGTTGCACTGCCACTAGGAAACCGCAGTTTTTCTCTTACGATGACCTGCTTGCGAAGCGGAACTGCAAAGAAAATACCGAAAAACGCCAGTGCTAAAGACCATAACAAAAGCTGCTGGAATGTGAAAGGTGCACCTTGCTCCCTAGTAAAGCCCGATTCTTCAGCGGTCAGGAAATTCTCAATCGCCGGTATGACACCCACAAACCCGTATGCAAGCGGTCCCGTGCCGACTGCGACGGCGAGGGACTGAATGTAAACGTTTTCCACATCACTAAAAGGTGCCATGTCGGGATAAATTTTGGGCAGAACCTGCTTAAAGATAGCGCACGCAAGCAACGCTGATGGCAACGACATCATCGATACCCATCCAGTCTGTAACCCAAACTGGAAATTGGACACCAGAACCAGTGATCCTATTAGTAGTCCCGCCGTTGTGGCCCTCAGTGACGTCTGATGTACCAACGCTTTGCTTTCAAAGGGAACCATGCTCATTTTTCCGTCAAATGGGTAGTCTAAGTCCCCCCGATGTGTTTAAGCAACCAAAAATATGGAAAACTTACGTTGATAGCTGATTGGAAGGTTTTTCTATAGTTAAGCAAGTGTCTAGGAACCTCTATCGATGATTAGAATGTGTTTGGTTTCAAAGATATCTTGAAGTATCATGAACAATTGATGAACTTAAAGATCAAGTCTTTAATTACTAATGGTTAAGAAAATTCCAAGAACATCAAGACTAGATGAGTCAAAGATTAAAAAGATAATGACAAGTTATGTTCATTCGCACTAGCACCTTTGTAGAATCTGTATAACTAGCTTCAAAGGCTTTAGTTGTAAAATTTTGGCTACCTTTTGGTACCAAATACAAGTAACTGTAGTATTTTCATGATCAATCACTTATGCTGAAAATTAAGTAGGTTTTACCTAGGTAAAATTGTGTTTTAGAGGAACTGGCCTCATATTGTGAATACCGCACAGCGGAAAATTACAATTTGCGTTTGCTGGGAGTGTGGGCATGCAAGCGGGCGAGAGATGGTGGACTTTAGAGGATTTGGGAAAAAAAATGGGAATAGAGTTTGGTTCGGCTGGACGTTTGGAGAATGATACGATTGTGATGATTAATTCCAATGCTTCGGTACCGATGTGAAGTCGCTATCAATTCTCCTCGAACAGAATGTACTTGAGAATATCGCTCAGTGTCAAAACGCCCGTTAAAAGACCCTCGTCGTCAACAACGAAGAAGCGATGCACCCGGGATTTCCGGATCGTGTCCATAATGGTAAAGAGCTTATCGTGCTTCGTGCACGTATACACGCCCTCGAAGTCGTCGGAGCGTCTCATAAGCGCTTCGCCCACGCTGAGCGATAAATCGTTGTACATCCCGCCCTTGATCAGCCCCAGTACGTCTACTGCTTCGTACACGTTCACCAGCCGACGCTGGTTGTCCAGAATCGGGACGCTCGATACACCGCCTTGCGTCAACAGTTGTATGACGTCGATGACGGGCGTATGCATGTTGCAGCTCAAGAGCTCACCGCCGGTTACAATGTCCAGTTCTCCAATAGGCCTTCTCAAATGACGTGTTTCGCGGCAGTTGAGGGCCACAAACTTGAGAATTCGGTACTGGGTCAGTACACTCACCACAATCTCGCGATGCGTTTCCTCATCCTGATCAATAAGCGGGATTCTACGACTGCGCGATTCAATCATCTTGCAACATGCATCATACAGCGGTTTGAATGGGTGAATGGAGCCCGTGTCGAGCGGTCTGACGCCAATGACACGCTCTATATCCTTGAGTCCGTCCAGTTGCAGCTTATCCACAAGCTCGAACTTGTCAGGGTTGGAAAAATAATATTGGATGACATTGATGAAGTCCGACGACGTCAGCAGACCGGCAAATTTCGACGTATGTGAGTCCCATAGCGGCGCAGAAACGATATTATTTTGCAGCAAAATGTTTAGAGACTTTTTCACCAGTAGAGATGTGTCCATTACGATCAATCGGTATGATACTGGCAGAACATCGTAAGATGTTTTTGACTTCAGAAATCTTCTTATGGACTGTACAGCAAGTTGCTGTTCGACAGATACAGATTCCGTCATATGGTTCGAAAGCTCTTATCAATCTCTAGAGTTTCCGAGTAGTAGTGGATTACTTTTACTATTGGTAAAGCCGTTTTGTTCGTTTTCAATTGTAACTCATGGCTCTTCAATTCATAGACTACTGTTACCTTGTGTTTAAAGGAGACAGGAGTACATAATTCTTTAAAGTTACTTCGTCGTACGTGATGGTATCACGTGTACGAGATAATCGTTATTTTGTTAAAATTCAAAAACACGGGCTTGAAGAGAGGGATGAATGTTCAGATAGCTACGCCAAGAAAGTGCTTCTTCTCACGCTTCTCCACGTATACAAAATCCGTGCGTGAATGTTCGGTCACAGTTCACGAAGTTTTACGATCCGGGTAACATTATTGGTTTTTCAGTATAAAAGCACCGGAAAAAAACTCAACTCTTCTCTCTTGTTACCACTCGCATTTCCATTGTTTTTAGAAAACCAAATCTCTTTGCCTTTTGGCTTAGATCAAGTGTAGTATCTGTTCTTTTCAGTGTAACAACTGGAATGTCCTCAATGAGGATGTTTAATATGTTACAAGCCCTATTTTTGGAAATGAATTAGAGGGAAGAGGGTGTTTTTCTGTTTGATGCGGATTAGCCCAGGTGTGTGTCACTGTCTTACGCCCCATCTCGGTGGGAGAGGAGTGGTCTTTCTGTTTTGGTGTGTGGCCGGTCGTGTTTCGACGCTGTAATATGGCGAGCTTGCTCGTTCTCCCGGCTTATTGCATCGGATGGTCCTATGGCTGTTCTGCGTAAGAAAGTGATAAATGCCGTTACAAAGGCTAGTTTGACGTTGAACCGCTCAGAGGTGTTGCAGTCATTGCACGGTACAATCCGCACTGCGTGCGCCTCTCATTTAGTCTTCTCTCGCCCTATTTTTTTTTTTAAAAAAAAAAATCCCCTTCTAAAGTTGATAGGATGAGTTCATCCATTGGTTTTAGAAGTCGTTATGCCTTTCACTGTGGGGGTCCGTCCTTTTACTCTGAGGTGTGCTTTCCACTACGTAACTTGTTTTTTTTTGTTGTATGCATTATTTTCCGAACTACTTACTTTTGCAGGAAAGTTATCTTATGACGAAATCCGAAGTGTTTCTTCGAGTCGGTGATCGTGAAGCGTCGTCGTCGCAGGTATCACCAACTTTGAGCAAGCCCATTAGACTCTCACCGTCGCAAACTCCTTGAGGTCTTTTTCTCCTGGGCTCAAATACTTTGTAAAACTTGAGATTTTCGTCACCGCCAACTGTAGCTAAAACGGTGCCATCTGGAGATAACTGGCTAGAGCAAATTCTTGCCTCATGCGCATTGACTATTTCTGCGACTTTGAATTTGGTGTCGAAGTTGTAAATGGATATGGCGTTCTCAGGATTACCACCCGTGGCGACTATTTCTCGTTGCATGGCACTGGAACTGTAACTTTGACCCCAGTGTAAAGAACTCACCTGAGATCCTGTATTAATGCTGCCAGTTCTGGCACCAGTTGTTGTGTTCCAGAAGTGGATGTGTTTGTCTGTTTGACCGCCACCAGTTGCCAAAAGGTTGGTGGTGTCAGGGCTCCAGGCCATGGCTTTCACGGCGGCGGTATGCTGTCTTTTAATATGCTGTGGTAAAGAGGTTCTGGTGTCCCAGATTACAACGGTATTGTCGTTACTTCCTGAGGCTAATTGCAACCCATCAGGGCGGTAACTGATACCGCACACTTCTCCTCGATGTTCTTCCCAGCTGGATACTATGTGGTTTTTGATTCGTACGTCGTTAATGTGAATTTCACCACTTTTGGCTCCTGTTGCAATCAATGTTTCGAGCCACGACTGGGAACCAATGCGAACGCCTAACTCCGATCTCATGGTCCTGACATGCGACATTGTTTCAACATCCCAAATTTCCGTATCCCCTCCGGATCTACCGATCGAAATATGACAGTCGTCGTCGGACCATGTTACGCTGCTTATAGCACCCGGTTGTTCGAAGTCTACCAACAGTGTGACGTTACCGGTTGCACCATTCCACAGGTAAAGTGCTGAATCAAGAGCAATAGCTAACACGTTCTTATTGGACCAACTCACCAGATTCAGATAAAAATCGTCTTGAAATCCAGGTGCATCCAGAATTCTTTCAGGATTAGAATTAATCTTTCTGAGTTTGGCAAGCTCGGGACTGGGTCCCGAGCCATGTAGGGACGAATATGAATAATGAGATCGATTGCCAATCGAATACGTTTGCTTGCAGCTTGATGATGTGGGAGGTCTGGGCATGTATTGTAAGATTCGTTGGTTCATGTCCAGTCCACATGCTTCCGCAACGTTTTGTTTAAACACCCGTTTTGTTTGCGCCTTTAGATGTGTCGAAGGCGATGCATTGGGTGGTGGAGTTTCGTCGTCCATATCCAGCGGATCGATCTTGGAATGCGAGAATGAATTTTCTTTACGAAGCGGAATGAACCGATCTGTGGCAAAACAGCTTTCGTCTGAGTCCTGCGATTTGATGGATTTGCGATTGTCGGTGGAATCAAGATCGTCCTGGAACAAAGAAGAAGACCGTTTGAGAAGGGGCGGAACGTACTGCAGCATGGGTCGCTGTATTCCGCCCTTCGTGCTCGGCATGATGTTTGTCACATTCGAGAGTGTGGCCGAGCTGCTCGACGATTGTCTTTTGACCACTTTTCCGATCGGCTTTTTCGCCGTCATTTTCGACCAATCCGAGGATACCACATTCAACTTCGCCGGCGAAGTCAAGGAAAGTACAGATTTGCTAGCATTATCGGAGAAATTGTGTTTATTCGTGCGATTATCTGGCATAAGCTAATCATACAATAAATCACTCCCAAAGCTGCTATCGGGTTTATGATTTTGACTTTTTGAGCTCGCTTGCTTGCTAATTGAATTCTCAGAAAATAGGGAGTATTCCAGTCTACAAATTCTTTTCCTAAAATTTTAGTCTCTTCAAAGACTGGCAAAGTTCCCAAAACTAAGACCTCTGTGCTTGCTACGTTCGAGGATCGGTTAAAAAAAGTGTTGATGTTTACATTTTACCCGATCCGGCAGAGCGCATGATGAGCATTGTACACGGGTCATCGCAATTCAGCGATGGGGATCACGAGGTTACAGATATAAAGACCATCCATGATATCTGCTAGCAGAGGAAGATGGGGATTTGGCCTAAGATCAAATGGTTATGAATATTCTAGTCTATGACAATATACACCGTCCTCTATCTGTTTTGTTGTTTAAATAAGTGGCTCGAGAATCGCCTCCGGGAATAGTAACATTTCTGTATTTTGTTGTATAATTCATTCGCTGACGGGGGAAGTTCCAATGTTGTTCGTATTTCTGAACATATAGACACCATCTTTAGACTCGTTGTCTTCAACAAACTGGCACGACCTGGCAACCTTCCATAAGGATCTCCACATGTTTTCGCCCTCGTAGCGATAGTGCTTGCCCATCACGTCCTTAATGGCCGACGTAGCCTTACGGGCATTGTAGAAAGGAATACGACTGCAGTAATGGTGCAGGACGTGGGTTTCAATGATATCGTGGAAAATGTGTTGCCCCACAAATCCATAGTCTCTGTCGATAGTGGCAGCGGCGCCCTTGGCAAAAGTCCACTCATTGGTGTCGTAGTGAGGCATTGTAGGGTCCGTGTGCTGCAAAAAGGTCACAAACACCAGCCAGTGGTTGACCCATAGCCAGGGCAAAAACCAGTTGATCAGCACCACGTGAGCGCCGTAGGCTCTGTACCACATATAATTAGCCGTCAACGTCGCTAGGATACCAATGTCACTGAGAATAATGTACCAGAAATCCTTAGCGTCAAAAACAGGAGAAGTGGGCCAGTAGTGGGACTTGAAAAACTTGGAAACACCCGGGTATGGCTGGCCGGTGGCATTTGTGGCCAAATACAGTTGCAGGCCACCCAATTGCTGGGCCAACAGGGTAAGAAGCGTGGCAATGGGGGTCTCTTCCATGACTTCGCTCAGCTTCGACTTGTTTCTGGTCTCCAGAAACTCCTTCTGTGTGTATGGGATGAATACCATGTCACGGGTCATGTGACCCGTCGCCTTGTGATGCTTACTGTGCGAGAATTTCCAAGAGAAGTAAGGAACCATCCACCAAGAGTGTAGGACCCATCCCACGGTATCGTTGACCAAGTTGGAGTCCGAAAACGCCGAATGGCCGCATTCGTGGGCCAAAATCCAAAGTCCAAATCCGAAAAGACCAATCAGGTACGATTGCACCATGTAGGCAGCAGCACGCGCAAGCGTGCTGCTGGGGAACCACACCGGGATGTAGCTTGTACCAACGTAACCGATAGTTACGATCGCGGCGATATCGCGAGCCACGTAGTGCAATGACCACCACAGGTCTCTCTTGTAACACTCTTTGGGTATCGCTGACAGAATGTCTTTAATGGTGTAGTCAGGAACTTCGAAAACGTTACCGTTGGTATCGATGGCACGTTTGGAAACCACTGTCTCCGTGGCAGTGCCGCTGCTGCCGGCAGCCACTTTACGTGATGAAAGCTCACCTTGCACGCTCATGATAAGTAGAGTTTATGTCTTATTTGCAGCTCAACGCTGGGAGAAGCAGAAACTGAATTTTGGCAAGACTTTTCACAGACCGTTTGACAAAGTTGGTTCCAGCAGTGGGAGATGTTCACCAGCCGATAGATGTTGTTGATTTTATACAGCTTCGTCTTGAAGTTATCGGTAAGTCCTCGAGCACATGCGCGATGCGCTTCTCTTTTCTTTTGACCAACTGTGCTGGTGCCGAGAGCCAGACAGGAAAAAAAAAAAAGCACGAAAAATAGCAGGAAGCCATCGTGGGCCAGGCTCTCGAGGGCTACAATCATGGCGTAAGAATAATATTGGTTGTTGTTAATGCGGTAGAAGATTAGGAATCTGGGGTTCTTTTACTCGAGGCCTGAGTGTCGAAATCGGATCTTGGGAAAACAACCTATATTTTGAACATAATGAACGCTTTGATGTGTGGTAGAAACAGGAAAAGGCAATATTTACTGTGAAGACACACGAAAAAAAAAACGTGTGCAGTGGATCTACCTTTGACGATTTTCGAGATAAAATAAAGGCTTCATGTCTTATGGTCTCGGGTCGTACTGTGCCTTGTGTGGCGCCAGTAGAACTAACTCATTATCTTGATTAGTTTTTTAACTCAGACGTCACAGACGTGTAAAGTGATCGTGTTTTACATCACTAGCTTACCTATGAAATGGACCAACAAGAGACAGAGTTTGAGCTCCTACGCGAATGCTTCGTTTCCTCAAGTCCATTAAAAAATCCTTCTATGCGTTATCTTGAGCTGCGATTTTCGAGCCTGGACGTAGTTTCTGAAGACCGGCGATCGCACCACGACCGTGGCTTCTTCGTACAGCGCATTTGTCGAGTCGTCGCCACTCGGCGTGTGAAGAACCAGATATTCTTTCAAAGCGCGAGACCCCAGCAGCAGTTGTTCATGCCAATTTGCATTCGTCACTGTGAACGTCCTTATGTATCCTGTGGTCTTGGCATCGATATCCAAAAGTGGGTGTTCGGGAGCGCTGGATTCCCGTGCGCTTAACACCAGCCTCACGCTAATAGCGTCTAGATCTTGCAAGGCGTCAAATGCGTGGCGAAAATGCACCACGCTTTCTCGTAACAGATCTTTGTAGAAAAAAAGGTGGGAGCAGGTCTCCATCTGGCCGCTTAGCTGTTTCAGCAGACTCACAAGCGCACTGTGGACTTCCTCTAGCATCGCAGACTGTGTGAGCGGATAATCTCTACGTTTGCTCAACACGTTCAGTTTTCCTATAAGTTTCGCGGTGTGCACGGCATCCAGTAGACAAGCAGTTCCCAAATCTTGACTTACAAATTCAGCAGCTTCCCGAATTTCAATTTCTTCATTTGTCTTGCAGAGAATATTCATCAATGAGTTTGTAGTTCCTCTTGGATACATCAATGACTCCGTCAAAATATCCACGAATTCGCTCAACGGCTCTGTCAATGACACTGTGATTTCTCTCACTACATTAGAAAGTAGTTCCAAAATTTTTGGAGAAAGTTTAGGATCGCCGGTAACCATTGGTCCTACGAATCTACTCGAAATATCCTTAGTTTTACTGATATCTCTTTTTTCTAGTCTGGCCTTGTCACTGTCGTCGGTTTTTCAACCTAGGTTTTATATGCACGGAAAAAATCAGTGTCTGAGAAAATGAGTCAAGCTGAGGAGACCGTCTTTCGAGAAATAAGACATGAGTCACGGAGATTTGGAGTGATTCGCTAAAAACTAACCGTGCGTCAGGAAAAAGGACGATATGTTCTAATAATTGGTTGTGGCTATGCTGATACTGCTTTCATTCGATCTTGAAGTGCCTGGTGCCAAGCCAATCCAGAAACATCAAGTCATGTTACCTTTTTAAGCCTATATATACGGTAAAGTTTTGTAATCTTTTCAAGAATGAAGCGGTGGCTCAATGGTAGAGCTTTCGACTCCAGTTAAATTCTGGTTCATACGGAAAATTGCAATCGAAGGGTTGCAGGTTCAATTCCTGTCCGTTTCATTTTTTTGACATTATAATTTTTTGGTCAAAAAAGTTAGATCTTGAAGACCAGACAATACCGGTACATGAGTTAGTCGGTGTACCCTGAGTTCATTGGCGATATTATTTGTAATTCGAGTAGGTTGGTTCATATTCTAGAGATTTCATTGTTGCACCATTTTTAAGTTTAGGTAACCTACACTGGCATTGAGACTTTAATTTCTAGCCCAGTGACACGAAAAAAGGCTTCCTTTTCCTTTACCGTTCAATCATTTACTAAACACTCTATATTAATCGTACAATGCAAAATGCTCTTGGAATAGTTTAGCCATTGGTATTTCAGCTCTCATCCTTGCGCACAAAAGGAACACTCCGCTAAATTTTCTGTGCAAGGAATACGTCTCCTCTGGTGGTGGACACAGGCGCTCCTTTAACATCAAGTTGATGTTGGTCCTGATTCTGTCAGTGACGGTCTGCTCGGAAAAATCGAACAGCTTATCGGTGGGACCTACGAAGGGTTCTGACAAAGTAAGAACGGAGTCGACATGTGCGTCTATCATAGCCTTAGATTCTAGGCCGGTCAGGTAGCCCAGCTGTTGCGAGAGCTGAGCGACTTTTGTGCGGTCTTTCAAACTGCCGGCGGTCAGCATGCGTCGGTACAAAAGGATAAACTCCTGTGGGAAGTCCCGGGAGGCGCCAAAGTCCAAGAGCTCCAATGTTTTATCATTCTCATTGTAGAGGAAATTGGCCCAGTTAGGATCCGTTTGCATGAACTGAAACTCTGCTATTTCACGTAGACATAGACGCATGATTGATTCCGAAATGAAATTTTTTGTTTCCTGCGATGTGCTGTCAGGCAGCTTCATTATCTCAGTACCTTGCATCTTGGTCATTGTGATTATATTTTCGGTGGTTAATTCTTCAAAAACTTTGGGAGTAACGAGAACTGGATCGTCCTTCAGCAAAGTCTCAAATTTCTGTAAAGCCGCGGCCTCTCGCTTGTAATCACACTCCCATTTCAATTCGGTTCTCGCGTTCTCTACCGTCTTGTCTAAAAAAAGTCCCTTGGGTAGCAAACGGGAGGCGGTCAGGAACATGAGCACATTATTAAGGTCTGAATCGATAGAATCCTTTACACCTGGATATTGAACTTTAACCACAACTTCTTCGCCCGATGGTAACACTGCCTCGTGAACCTGACCAATGGATGCGGCGGCCATGGGTACGAGATCGAATTTGGAGAATTTTTCTCTCCAAGATGAGCCTAATTCTCTCGTCAGAAGCCTATCCAGTTGTCTTTGAGGCATGTAGTGAGCACCATTTTGAACGCGAGATAAAATAATGTATAGCTCTTTGGGCAAAACACGCTCATCTTGAAAAGACATCATTTGACCTATCTTTAATGCAGCGCCACGCATTTTGGAAAATTTTTGAGTAATACGGTCTATGTTGGCATCTGAGAGAATAAGTGATTTGAGATCTAGCGACTGACCGCGCACAGCTTGAGAGAAGCCGTCCGTCGCCGCTGAAAATCCAACCCCAGCCGCAAGGGAGCCATAATGGAAAAGACGCGATATTCTCGAAGATGGTATTTCAGAGCTTTTAAGAGCATTTTTTTGCTTCATTTGTAAAACTTATTAGTATCGAACATGAAGCTTTGATCCATTGTGTTTTTGTGGATTTCTCAACATACCTCTTTTTCCGCTATGTTTGAAACAGCAGCTTTCTTTGCATCCGTGGAGTTTAACCTTACGCTTGTGAATGTTGAATAGTGCCTTATTCCGCCCTTCTTGCTGGCCTTGCTCTTAGTTTTAGGCTGGGACCTTCTTTGCTCGGACAATGCACGAGCTTTCTCCCATTCTGGATCGTAAAAAAGACGACTTCTGCTCAAAATAGGTCTTGTTAACGTGGAGCTTTCGGCCCAGGATGTTAGCGATGCGCATCCAATAGATGCACTTCCTTTTACAACATCTCTAGCAGATGTTAACAGACAATAAGTATAGTATAAGGACTGTCTAGTGCTCATTGTGTCTGGCTATAGACAGAATTGATACGCAAAAAGATAGCTACAAGTAGTAGAGATTCAGAGCAGGGCACGATCTGTCTGCTTCCTTCAATTTTCGTCCTAGGGCAGTGAAGTGATACTGGAAGTAGTGTAGGACGTCTGTTAAATTTGACTACCTAGCTGGTCGATCACAATATACGAATTATTATAGGATGACATGAAAACTTGTTGAAGTCTAAGCACACAGCGAGGATTATTTGACCAAGTTCTAGATTGGTCCACTTAGTTTGCATATGACAGTTGTTTATAGCATAATTTTAAGAGGTTATTGTGGGGTTTCATTTTTAGATTTAGACACTAGGATTTCTCAAAAAAAAAAAATAGCAGAAGACAGGTAAGGGTCGCGATATTGCACCTTTTTACTATCAGCAGACGATGGGTACATGTAGCTAAAATCAGCTCAGGACACACTTTAGGTCACTTTCTCTCCATTCGTACTTTTTCTGATTTTCGACTCTCGATTTTCAAGTTAATTTTAAAAAACCGCTGTCACTGCTGGTAGCGAAATAAACTATATGAACATTTCGGCTGAACGAACACTTTAAGAGGAGCAAGCAGATTCAAGTGAGGAGCAAACTGGAATACACGGGTACTCGGTGAAGACTACGATTTGTTGTTGCGCGGATAGCTGTAGTAGAGCTGACAGTTATTTCTCTATGGGACTCCGTTTACAAGTGAGTTGATCAACTCAGAAATTAGGCACACTGAGGAATTTCACACAAGCCTAATGTCAGCTGAAGCTAGTATCACCTATTGCGATGCAGACAGTGTCTAACATGATCATTTTTGGTAAAGCCCGGATCTTATCACTTTGAAGGTTTACTGACGCTCAAGGAAATTACCGTACACCGCGATATCGAAATATGGTATAAAATTTTAGAGCTCATCGCGCGATGAGCTACGTTCAAGGTTGGAACTGAAAAGGATTCTTACAGACTGCTTGCCGACTAAACATTCGAAGATGACTTCCAAAAGACGGCTTTCAAGTAACAGCGAACACAAATCTGCTGTAGAGAGTTCGGTGCCCGAACGTGCGGCCGAAATCGCCGAGGAACTGACCAAGAAAGGACACGAATACCATGATCAGCCGTTAACACATCATGATGCTGGCGAGTTCGCGCAGCTCCAGAGACACAAAACAACTGCCGAACAAGCAGCTAGGCTAGAAAGTGGCACGGTGAATCCCTTCACAGGGTCTGCATTTAGTCCTCGTTATTTTGACATTTTAAAGATTAGAAGGGACCTGCCCGTTCACGCTCAGAGAGACGAGTTTCTTAAAATTTACCAGGAAAACCAAATCATGGTATTTGTAGGTGAAACCGGTTCCGGTAAGACTACACAAATCCCACAGTTTGTTTTGTTCGATGAGATGCCTCATCTGGAGAACAGTCAAGTGGCGTGTACCCAACCTCGTCGTGTGGCAGCAATGTCTGTGGCCCAGAGAGTGAGTGAAGAAATGGACGTGAAATTAGGCGAAGAAGTGGGTTACGCGATTCGTTTTGAAAACAAGACCTCTAATAAAACCATCTTGAAATATATGACCGACGGTATGTTGCTGAGAGAAGCTATGGAGGATCACAACCTGAGCCGCTATTCGTGTATTATTCTCGATGAAGCGCACGAGAGAACATTGGCCACTGATATTCTTATGGGTTTGTTGAAGCAGGTGGTGGTGCGGAGGCCAGATTTGAAACTTATCATTATGTCCGCTACTTTGGACGCTGCAAAATTTCAGAGATACTTTATGGACGCACCTTTGCTAGCAGTCCCTGGTAGAACATTTCCCGTGGAATTGTATTATACTCCAGAATTCCAAAGAGACTATCTGGATTCTGCTATTCGCACTGTCCTTCAAATACATGCCACAGAAGAACCTGGTGATATCTTGCTGTTTTTAACCGGTGAAGAAGAAGTTGAAGATGCAGTACGGAAAATTTCCTTAGAAGGTGACCAACTAATGAGAGAGCAGAACTGTGGTCCCCTTAGCGTCTACCCATTATACGGTTCATTGCCTCCTCACCATCAACAACGTATCTTTGAGCCGGCTCCCGAGCCTGTCAATGGACGTGCTGGAAGAAAAGTTGTCGTATCAACAAATATTGCAGAAACATCGTTGACTATCGACGGTATAGTATATGTGGTTGACCCCGGGTTTTCGAAGCAAAAGGTATACAACCCAAGAATCAGAGTGGAGTCCCTACTTGTATCGCCCATTTCTAAAGCCTCCGCTCAACAGAGAGCTGGTCGTGCTGGTCGTACAAGACCAGGTAAGTGTTTCAGACTTTATACCGAAGAAGCTTTCCAGAGAGAGTTGATTGAGCAGAGCTATCCTGAAATTCTTCGTTCCAATTTGTCCTCCACTGTCTTGGAATTGAAAAAACTAGACATCAACGATTTGGTTCATTTCGACTTTATGGACCCACCTGCACCAGAGACCATGATGCGTGCTTTAGAAGAGCTCAATTACCTGGCTTGTTTGGATGATGATGGTAACTTGACACCGCTGGGCCGTTTGGCATCCAATTTCCCCTTGGACCCCATGCTGGCAGTGATGCTGATAGGTTCGTCTGAGTTCTATTGCGCTGAAGAGATGTTAACTATCGTTGCGATGCTTTCTGTGCCAAGCGTCTTCGTGCGTCCTGCTAAGGACAGAAAGAGGGCTGACGATGCAAAGGCCATTTTCGCGCACCCTGATGGAGATCACATCACGCTGCTGAATGTTTACCATGCTTTCAAGTCTGATGAGGCTTACGAGTACGGAATTAACAAATGGTGCCGCGATAACTTTTTGAACTACAGGGCCCTATCGTCCGCGGACAACATCAGAGCACAGCTGGAAAGGATGATGCTTCGCTACAACCTGCCACTTACCACCACGGACTACGAGGACCCTCGCTATTTCGACAATATCAGAAAAGCGTTAGCCGCAGGCTTTTTCATGCAGGTAGCCAAGAAGAGATCCGGTGGCAAGGGCTACATCACAGTGAAGGACGACCAAGACGTTCTGATCCATCCGAGCGCTGTGCTCGGCCACGATGCCGAGTGGGTCGTCTACAACGAGTTTGTGCTGACCTCAAAAAACTACATCAGAACTGTCACGTCTGTGAGGCCCGAGTGGCTTGTAGAGCTGGCTCCTGCTTATTACGACTTGGACAATTTCAGAAAGGGCGATGTCAAGCTTTCGCTGGAGCGCATCAAGCAAAAAGTGGAGCTTGTGAAGGACATAAACAGCGACAAGAAGAAAAAGAGCAAGAAGAGCAAGCACAGGGACTGATTTTTTCGCATGAAATCATAGGATACATAAATGTACATTAAAACTGCAAGCATCATTTTAAAGCTTTCCAAAACATTCATTAGAATCGGAACGAGACTAGTTTTTGACGCTACAAAACCCAAAAAAAAAAACCCAAAAAGAGGGATTAAACTACGGAGCTCGATAGAAGAATATAAAATAATACGCAGAACCTCAATATTGTCTAAACGATCGGTAACGAAGTTTAGTATTCATGATCGTAAAGCTATAAGTGTCAAGAGAACAGAGTACTTGTAAACGACTTTGGGTTTATAATGTTAAACGACTTGTGGCTCCTTTTTTTTCTTTTTTTTCTG